AATCTTGATGGCATAAATGGATGTAGTGGGACAAATACGGTTACGCACTTTTGCTGCCTCAGGAGCAGATGATTGGCTTCGGGCACGCCCCGTTTTGGCTCAAGATTTGTTGCTCACCAACGCTGCATTTTGAGATATTGTTTCTATGCGGCTGGGAGTTCCATGTTTTGAACCGGGTGAGACATGTTCTTTTTGCCACCAAAATTTGGATACTTTAGGACACCCTGTTTTCCATTGCATGGGACATAGACACAAACAGGCCACGCACACCATTTTTGAAGAACGCTGTGTTTGCTTTAGCCTTACAAACTGGCGCACGACCCTCGTTGGAGCCTATGAATTTATTACTCACTAATCTCCGGATAAGACCTACGGATGTTCTGGTGATAGGAGCCCCATAAATCCTTTAATCTTCTTGGCTTCGTTTTCCGCGGTTGGCCCTGGATGTAGCGGTTACATCTCCTTTCCAATCTCATATCTTGGGAGTGGCGGCACAGGAATCATCGGCAATATGCCGAACATAAACGCACTCATAACGATTTGCGGAGTCGATGTATAGCTCAAAACATTAATTACGAATCTCTGATTTGGGAAAGTATGGATAAATTGGATGCCGAGGGAAAATAATTCCTTCGATCCCTTAATCGTATGGTAGATGAAAAACGTCCTCCGTATCTTGGGATAATTTAAAATCCGAATTTCATTTAAATTATAAAAACATCATCATTTAGCATGTGAAAAGCATCGGAAAGCGGCGATTAGCCGCACAAACAAGTAATTTTAGAAGTATACTTCAAAAATAATAAATTAATTGCCTTAACTTTGTTTATTATTTTCGATAAATATTTCAATTATATTTAATATATAACGGTGTTATAATTATTTTCCTTAATTTATAATTAATAAATTTATCCTTCCTTAAATTACGAAGAATTTATATCTTTTAAATCGAGATTTTTTTTTATGTGTTTAGTTTAGGTTTCGTTTTCTAAAATAAAATAATATAATCTTCGTGTTTAAAATAATACTAAATTATAAATAAATAAAATTTGTATTTTCCAATTCTATTTTATTAATATATTTTCAAATAATCTAGGTTAAATTACCTATTATATTACAAATTACCAATCCTTTTACTAAAACAATTATATATAATTTATAATAAAACATATATTAAATATTAAAAAGATTAATAATATAAAATATTTATATAATATTTCTATTTAGTTTTAAAATCAAAAACATTATCAATTATTATATTATATATCGAACATTTATATCTATATATAATTAGCCATTCAAAAAACCAAAATAATTATATATATAAAACATAATGTTTAACCTAAATTCAATTCTTATTCTAATAATATCGTTATTTATATATATATAAAAAATTCCAACCTTACCTAATCGTTCTTTGCACCCTAGGTGATCAGGTGAAGCAATGAAATAGATAATATCTTTTTGATCATTCAATTTTCGAGAATGCAGTCAGGCAGGACTAAGCAACAAACAGAAGAATGCTGAATTGTGCAAGCTTGCTAACATTGACCTCTACAACTCTGTTCTTGGCAATAAAACCAGCCAGCCAATGACATATTCGCACGCACCCCAAGACACTTCAGGTCGAGGTTACGCACGAACACGGTCCACCGGCCCAACGATTCATTAGCAGGCGCAAGCAAAGTGCTTGCGCGGGGCCTCGAGGGCATTAAAAAAGGCACCACAGGACGGCCCCTCACGCCCGCCCATCGCCGCCTAAGAAAGGTACAAACAAACATACGCAGCTGTCGATGAAACACCTCATCACGCCAACGTCGGATAGCTGAGCCGAGGGCGGCAATACCACCGCCGCTTGCTGGGTCCAGGGTTGCCTCACAACACGGGCGCGTAGTGGGAGACAACGCTACTGCCACAGCACGCGACAACAGCCTGTCCCCCAGTTCAGAAAATACTCGAACCTGATTCATCCCGCTGTGATGTGGTTATCTTTTAGGGTCAAGATCAGGCTCTAATTCATGTACCTTGCTTCTTGGAGGTGATTCCTTCATGCCCCGCCTGACCGAGCATCGCTTCGACTTGAGTGCGTCCAGACCTCCCCGCTGGACCACCACAGCTGGCCATCTTGAAAGTTGGCCTGGGAGCAGGAAGTGCTGTGCCACCCAAAATGTTTTGAAGGTACCAGGAATCCAATTTGAGCGACGAGGTGTTTTCTTTGCATAGCCCTGGCATTAGCCTAACCCTGGCTCAGCCTGGTGTGCATCAAAGGAGACACTAACAGACAAAGATTGGGGTGGGTTAAGGGTAGTCCGTTTAGGGTAGGTTAAGGCCCGGCATTGTTTTAACATTCTCAGCATCAACAGGCTTTGGTTGGCTGGGTTTAGGGTGGGTTCCAGGTTGGCTCCGGTTTGGCTCTGGATGGGTTCCAGGCCTACTGAGAGCAAATTTGGGGGTGGCTCTGCTTGAGGTGGATGGTTTGGCGCTGGTTTATGGTGGGGCTTCTTGGGGTTGGTTTCGGATGGGTTTAGGGCTGGTTTAGGCTGGGTTTAAAATTGGCTGCGGTCGTGGTTGTGTTTATGGACTGATTTAAACACGTTTCCTTGCCGGCACCGATGTGGTCGAGCATGTGGTCGAGCAACATAAGCGAATGGTTCCCTCGCAAGCTGACGCGAAAAGACTCAGGTGGGAGTGTTCCAACACTTGCGCCAAATCTTCCTCTGTTGCGCCTACATGGCAGAACCATAGCCTTGCGGCCAGCTTAGGACCCTCGCCCCTGGCACGACTTGTTCTACATGCCCTTTTTGGCGGTCACATGAGCTGCAGTCAGGGTAGGGCAGAAAACAGCGACCAAGCATTCAAGTCAGCGCCGTTGCAACTGTAGCTTCCACTCGCAACCCCTCTCTGCTCTCTGAGCATCACAAGACTGCTCTCTGGCAAAGGCAAGCAACAAAACATCGAAGATCATAGAATCATAGGCGTGCTTTTTGGAAACAACCCTATTGCCTCCAGAATCGCTGGCCGATTCACTTAAAACGCAACAACAGAACCGCCTTAGCGGGCCATATGGGCAAACCACCCAAAAGGTTGCTTTTAGCAAAACAGCCGCAATTTCTCGACATAGCGCAAGCGGCAGCGCCTGAGGGCACAAATCAGAGATTGGGCAGAGAATGGTGTGTCAAACAAAGCCTGTTGATGCCGAGGATGTTAAAACGATGTCGGGCCTTAACCTACACTGAACGGACTACCCCAAACCTACCCTAAACCTACCCTGAACCCATTCCAAACCTTCGTCCTACCGAGGCGCCAACCAACCAACCAACCAACCAACCAACCAACCAACCAACCAACCAACCAACCAACCAACCAACCAACCAAACCAACCAACCAACCAACCAACCACCTACCAGGGTTAGCCCTGTGCCAGGGCTAGGCAAAAAAAACACGCCCTTTCCCGACACCGGAGCTGGAACACAAACCAAAGGCCCCCGCCTTCAAGGAGCGAAGGTTCCGCCTTTCTGGGGGGTAGTGTATCTTTTGGTGAAGCAACTCCAACACAATATGTGATGCTTCCCCAGAAAAACGCCTGCGCCCAGTTTGAGTCCATGTGGTCAGAACTGCTCCAGCAAAAGGTCATCTTCTCCCCTAAAAGTTTGCACACACACACACACACAAAACCATGTCAGGTAGGAACATCATCTGTAGAACGACACTTGCTCCCTGCCAAACGTGCACCTTACCGGGGAAACCGTCATGTCCAACAGTGTCAAAGAGCTGAGGTCAAATAGCAAATCCACAACACGGCCCAGACGCTTCATCCCTCAAGCCAACTAAGGTGTGTTCCCTCCCACAAATCTGTGCAGAGAGCATGCACCAACAAAAAAGCAGGGCGAATTCCGTAGGCGACTAGAATAAGCCCGGCAACAACAATCCCTGAAACCGTTTTGTCCTGGCCTGCCAAAAGTCCGAGTACAAGAGCACGGACACGCGCGCCTGGCCCGATCCCACGACTGAAACCGAGGAACCACGATTTTGGCCACCCCCGGCCTTTAGGGTAACCAAAAAAAAAAAACTAAAAAAACAAACTGGAGCCACCCTTCCACACACACACACACGCATGCCATGGAAACCGGACTGGAAAGTTGTGAAAGGACATTTTCCTTTGAACCTGCAACAGTTTCATAGCTCAAAATCCTGGTCGAGACGGGTCAGCCATCGGCTTCCGCCTGGCTGTGACACACGCCCTCGCAAACAGCTGAAGCTCCAGGGCGCCACCCCCTTCAATGGCCAAGGCCAATTTGTGGCGTATGTCACAAGTCGGGCAGTGTTCGGAAATCAATGACTAAGGGTTGTGCTTGAGAAACATTAGGATAAAAGCCAGGCAAAGCAAACAGGAAAGCACATCTGGCAATGAATGGATCTTCAAAACGAATGCTAGCCTGCGCATTGCAAACATGATGGATGGGTGAAACGGGTAACATGTTCTTGGGGGGGCGGGGAATTTGCTGCCACAAGGCGCAAACTATTTCAGGTCGGCTCACTAAAGTTCTTGCAGAGTTGCCCCTCTGCAGTTTCACACGGAACCATACCAAAAAATATAATATGTCTTCGAAAGAACATCTGATAGGATGAAACCCTGCCACGGATGCAGGAATAATCATCCATGTAGTCATTGCCTGTACAAGGGAAATCGCTGGGAACATCTTCGGCTGGAGGATCCCCTTTGCAAGAGCACAGCAGCCAGAGAAAAGTCTCCCTGAGTTCGCTTCTACCTTAGCGGCCAATCAAGGCGGCAGAGCTTTGGTGCGTTAGTAGTTCGGGTTCACTTTCAGGCTAGCTAGAGCGCTGGATTAGGGATCTACCCCTCGCGGATCCCACGATCGCAGTGGGGCCCGCCTCCTGTCCGTTCTGCTGGACCTGCACCGCAGATGCCTCGCCGTCCTCGCGCTGTCACTTCAAACAGTTGCCTAATTGTTAACATCGCCCGGCAACCTTTGCAGTCCTCAATCATCTCGAGAACGTCTCCGCGAAATCCTGGAAGCGAGTGGCTGTAATTGAACTTGGATCTTTATTGAAACAAGCCAACTAGGTCTCGCAGATTCGCTTGCCCCTCAAACGGCTGGTATCCTGTCGGCTTCGCTTGAAAGCAGCCAATAAGAGGGTGCTGCCATTCTGCCACACACCCAAACATCGGATGGACAAAGAAACAATCACGAGATGATGTCCGACGCTCTTCAGGAACCTGTAGGCATCTGACTGTATCCAGGGACTGCCTGGTAGGCACTGTGCCACAGACTGGTTGTACCCCGTACACCTCTTCGATTCTTCGATGCTAGCTATTAGACGGTCCCTTGCAATGAAAGGACCTTAACATAAGCGGCCAACGAGGTGAGAGTGCTTGCACGCGTGTCGGAAATAGAACTGCCGGAAAGGATGCAAGAAGTCGTCATAGCCAAGTTTCACCAGCCATGATGAAGCCTTGTAACATCGAAAGGGCAGATTTGCTGTTCCGTCTAACTTGCCGCTCCGCCCAACTTTGCTTGGTACACCAACAACCCCCTCCCGCCCCATGTAAGTATCCAACCCCCCCCCCCCCCAACCCCCCGCGCATAGCAACAGGCCATCCCCCCCCAACCGGCCGTGTGGCGGCGTTGCCTCACTGCGAGTTGGCTTGCGTCCGAGGGGCTGGCCAAAGCGCCATAGGCATCGTGCCACTCCCCAGCCAGTTGGGCAAAGGTGCGTGCCTCGCTCCTGGCGACTTCGCGGGGCTGGGGGCTGTCTGAAGTTGCTTCGGCTTATGGGAACAAACTGGCTCGGCTTTCAGTCTGACAGGGGTCATTGGATTTCCATTTCAAAAGTTGATTAAATTACTGGTCCGTTGAAATTGCAACTTTTCAAGGTTCTAAAAAGGAACATGGAGGAACCCCGACTGAGGTAGCCAAAATGGGGTCTTCCAAAGGAACGCATCGGATCTTTTCACCTGCGCCGAGTGGCCGTGCCAAACAAGGACAGCTGGTGTTTTGAAGGAGCCCTTTCAACAGAAAGGGAAAAACGGATGCATTTGATCCACTGCGCAACTGGGCCAAGGTCTTGCTTTGTGAGGGCATTCTGGAGTACGACGCCACACTGCTCTCTATGGGATATTTCCGGGTGTGGAATGGGCGACCCACTTTTTGTTGCAGGCTTCCAAGGAACTGTGAAGAACAAACCCCGGAAACACAGCTCCCCATCCATGTGTCTATTGTCTCTCCAGGCTGGCTCTCAACTGGAGCACGATTGCCGCTGAAGGTCGATCACAAAGAGCCCCCGATGTCCGTTCCCGTTTCATCCAAGCGTTTGGTGCGCAACTTGTTCATCTACCCCGGTAGAAAGCTGTTCGAGCCCTTAGGGTTAACGGTGTTTTAGGCCAGCCTCCTTTTGCTTTTCGTCCCCCGGGAAAAAGCATGATTTTTCCAGTAGTGAGATCGATGCGCTTTAACACCAGTAGTTGAAAATAACAAGCATATTCATTTATCAGCTAAGGGAAGCTAGCAGCAGAGAGTGTCGAGTTCGCGCCTGCGGCAGGCGGCGTCCAAGTCCAGCAGTGAGGAGCAAACCTTGGTCCAGCGCACCTGAGATGGACAAACTCCCCGGAAACCACTCAACCAGACAGCTGGGCGTGTCTAAAATTTTGGGACCCATTCCCCAAAGTTTAGGTGTCCTGTTGGTTGACAATAAATGGATTTCCCTGGCAATTGCTTACCGAAACAACCAAAAAGGAGCCCCCAGGCTTCTTCTTGGTTTGCCTCAAAAACCAACCACCGAAGCTGTGAACAAACCCGGCCAAATACGGCAACTGGGCGAACCCTCGTCGAAATGGAGGTGTCCTTTGGCAAAGATTTGAACAGAACTGAAGCGGAGTCCAGCTATCTGGAACCAAACTGATCCATGGGCTCCCTGCCCAAACGACCTCAAACTCAGAGGGCAATATTTTGGGCCCTCCAGACCAAGTCGTCTCAAAGTTGTCTTTGGCCAATGGCCAATCTCAGCTTTGCACATGTCACGCTCCTTTTGGCTTGCATTTCAAGGGGGCCGGGGCCTGGTTGTCCAAATTTTGACCTAGGGGAGCCAGGCGCAACTGACATTCAGCAGTTGGTCTAAACGCATTGTGCAACCAACCTACGCCACCTAACCGACTGACCCACTCGCCGCGGAGCAACGCGATCGGAGACCTTTGCTCCAAGCCTGGAAGCGCAAGAGGCACCGAAGAGACCCATTTGGCTTGTGCCCTCACATACGCTGATCAACCACTGAAACAAGAAAACCCTCCCTGCAGGTGGTGGGTGTTCTTGCTTCCCTTTCAGACAGACCCATGTTGGAAGGACAAATGGGATAAGCACCTACACCTTACACCCCCCCTTGTGTGCGCAAGTTGCCAAGAGCTGCCCGGCGGTCTATGGGGCAATCAGAGAACTCTTGGAGCTCAACCAGGTTGGAGCCAGCTAAAGGGATACTTCTCTTGTGAGAGAGAGCGAGAGAGACACATGTTCACTCACATGCAAGCATTGATACATGCATACATCGATAGATGCAAATAAATGGACATGCAAAACACGCAAAAAGGATGTCAACTAGGAGGGGGCCAGTGACACTTTAACCAAGCATGCATGCCATTTGCAGGGACTTTTACTCATCGACACTTGTCCAGCCCTCTTCTGACATTTCAGGTGCACATTGTGCTTGAATGCTTTGAATTGCGGTCCTTGCCGAATGCCCACTGTTCAAGAAGATACCTTGAAATAAGAAAGAACCTTCATCCGCAAGGTCAGGATCCCTTGACTTGGGCTTGGCAGCTTGACAAAAATGCAAGCGCCCCGCTTGCACACCTCCACGCCACCCATCCGACGGATTGATGCCGTGCCTGGTGGTCAAGTCCTGGCACTTGGCTCACGGCTCAGTTAGGAGGGCGTTTTCGGCAAAATAAGATGTGGACTTTCGAACTGTGTGGATTCGTTTCGGTTTGTCAAGCGAACCTGAAAAGTGCACCCACCAAAACACAAATGGCCCTGAAAGCAGGGACCCTGCAAACCGCCCCCTTTCAACCCCCCCCCCCGACCGTTGAGGCGTTATTGGCCAAAACACTGCACAAAGGTGACACTGCGCCCATGGACCTCTGACTGAGTAATGAACTCCTTTACAAAAGGGTCATGTTATCGTTTGACCAGTAGCCAAAGACAAGAGCTTCATTGTTTTAACAAAATACTGTCCATTTCCATTGTTCCACTCTTTTTAATGTTTCTTCAATTTTTCTTGTATGTTTTCCTAAGTTTTTAATTGTTTCAAAGAAAAGCTAAATTTTGACTTTTGAGGGGGACTAACTGAGTAGTACAACATGTACACATTATGAACTAGGTATAGGAAAATAGAGAATTTCAAAGTACATATTATGGAAACATCGAAATATATATATATATACATATATATATATACATGAATACATAAATACATAAATACATACAAATACATATTAATTAATCGAACGGCAAATCAACAAACATGATAATGTAAAACAATAATAGAAAATGCGGATTCTTACTGGGGACTATTGAGATTCCTACCGTGGAACCCTCGTTTTGTTTCTTTGATTTGAAAGAAAGAACTATTTTCTTAAGAGAAATTGATACTATTTAATTGAGAATGTTGAAAACATATTTTCCCACGCATTCTACTATCAGGAGTTCATCCATTGTGGGCCCAACCTTCTTCAGTTGAATCGGAAGTGGATGAGGAGGAAGTATCAACTAAAGTTCTTAATGATTCAGTTGATCTATCTTGCATAAGCATTGTAGCTTTGCACACCTCTCTTCCTTCACATAACAAGCTATATTCATACCTTCTGCAAGCATTCCAATTAGTTGAAGCGAAAACAAAAGGAATAAAGTAAAGCAGTAGACAGAGGAAGAAACCTTGATGAGTAAAACAAACAAAGATGGGTTCATAAATTTGATGAGAGCTTTGATTAAAAAAATGAGAGCCTTTCATGAATCGGGTAACGCTAAGCTCAATACGAATCAAACAACAATTGTGTTAACATAATATTATATATTTCCATATTTGTTGAATTTTAGTTTTCCCTCCAATTTTCTCAAAAAGTGTTCTTCCCCTAAAGAGAAAACATGTTTCAACAAAAGCTAAATTTTGACTTTTGAGGGGGTCTAACTGAGTACTAGAACATGTACAACTTATGACATAATTATGAGATAGGTATAGGAAAAAAAATCAAACTACATACTGGGAACACTATCGAACTATAGCTACATAAATATAGACATACAAATACATATTGATTAATCGCACACAAAAACAAACATCTCGTTTTTTGAATGAGAATGTAGAAAATAATAGAACATGCGGATTCAAAGTAATCGAACAACATAGAAAACACACAATTAAAGATGATGAACAGAAGGCTGAAGAAGAATGCAACAAAAAGAAACAAATAATAAATAAACCATAAATCATATAGAATGAATGAAAACAGAGAACACAGAGGAACAACAAAACACAATCGAAAATGGGTATGCTATGCCAACCGAGAGCGAAGAACCACATGTTGCTACGGCGACCCAGATTTCTTTGGCACCCACACACCGAAAGCAACAGGACACGTCGCAGACTCTACGTGGACAAAAGGCCTGTGGCTAGGCCCATGACTCAAACAAACTTCTCGAAGGGGCCCGAAAAGAACCTCACCCCCAGTTTTCATAGGCTATTAGGAATCCACAGCCCCTGTTTGAGCAAATGCCCCAACATATGCAGCCTGAAAAAGAAAACACACACCTGGGGTTGGAGGAGGGGGGGGGCTAAAGCTGGGTATGCTGAGGCTTCTTCACAGATTATATGTACCGGCGCAAAGCATCCATCATCTATGTCAGAAGCTTCTCGAAAGAAGTAGCGGCCCTTGGTCTATACTCACCCCATGGGAAACGATGGGGGAAAACACACGTTCCGTTATGTTCCGTTGGCCTCCCACAATGGTACCCTCAAAACGACGCAAATCTTGAGGGTACCTGACACCATTTGAGCCTGGACGCCACCAACCTGGCGATCAGGGTCTGGTTTCGTGCGACGTTCAACTCACGTAGCCACTCAATGGATGTCGGAGGTCAGCCAAGACAAGGTTGATTTCAAACTAAGGATCCAGGGATGGGTTTGGAGGTCCGGGTGCTGAAAAAGCAACAATCAGCTGGGAAAAGCAGTGCCCAAAACCAATGCCAAAATACTTCCATGGACCAAGGCCCGCCCCCCGCCCCCCCCCCACTTCCGGCCTCCAGCTCCCTGGCCGGCGATGGGGAGCTCATGATAAGGCTGGGGCAGGCCCCTTTCAAGGATCTTTAGACATTGATTGGTCAACAACCCCTCTCTTCTGTCGAGGCGCTCTTGGAACAGAACCTCGCTGACAACAGTGACCTTGTCACTGACTTTCTGTTGGACTCCGCTTAGACCAGGGTTTGTTTGAAACACTTGCCCAACCCGCGCGCCAGCCCCGGAATCTGACGGTTCAATAGTCACTAGTCCACTCCGCTGTTTTTGGAGGGCAGGGGTCGTCTGTATGGAAGCTGGACAAGCCCACTTGATAAAGAAAAACACAAAGGGTTAAAGTGCCCCCCATAAGAGCAAACATGTTCTGATTAGTTGCTAAAAACATGTTAATTTCTTGGGTTTCTTGGCATTGAGAGGGGACGCCTCTCCTAAATGCCACTTCGGATTGCCCGAGCTTTCAAGGGAACCCACAGGCTCAAATTCGGGCGTTGGCCATCCTGTGCACACTGGAAAAGCTGAGCAGGTATTGAGTTGAGCGGTCACGAAGATCTGGCCTTGCCAAGAGCCAAGAACCGGTCTATGTACTCGGCGTTCACACAGAACCAGTCACGAAGACGAGGGCGGGCAGGGGAGGGCGGGAAGACAAATCCAAACGACCACCAAACAAGCACAAAGGCAGGAAGAGGCGCAGAGACAACAAAGCAGAGTTACGCACCATAAGCCGAAATGCGGGCGCCACGAACAAAGCCACATCGAAAAAGATATGTGGGCCACGTGATTACCCCCCCGTTGAGACAAACCAATTCCACTGACTCATGAAATCGAGGATTCTCCAGGTCGAGCCTGTGTTCAACTCTTGAAAAGCATCTCGAGTCCGAACCCTCAGGTTCATTCCTTGGTTCTCTTCTGCCCTGGAGGCTCCCGATGCATTTCGGGCCCTCAAACAGCCAGATTTTGAGACCCTCAAACACCTCCGGGGTGTCTAATGGAGCGGTCGGGTTTTCCATTGAAAGCCCCAGGAGCCTCTGGGTGGAGAAAGAGGCCCATGTCATCAAATTCGTCGGAAGTCCAGCCGGAGCCCATGGGATCTGATCCGATGACCAAAAAAAAAACCAGCGCCAACCCGCTGAATGTCTTATAATGTCTTAGCCTCCGGGGGAAGAAAAGGATTTACAGCCCCTAACATCTCCCGTGAATCAAAGGGCAGCCTTTGTATTCCAACCAGGGTGGTTGGTATGAAAGGTAGGGACATCTTCAAGACCATCCGAGGAAGTTCGGAAGGGTGTTCCGTGGCACGGAAACTAATTGGAAGCTAGCTCCCTGACAGAAGACAAGGAAATAATGAGCATTCCTGAGAAAACGTGCGCTGTCGTGTTGTCGTGTGGCGGGGGAATCGACATGTCGAAAAAGTGCAACCCATCTGCGGGTTTCCGTTCTTCTAGATACTCGAAAGCTAGCAGGGTTGCGACGTTGGTCAGAGCGGCACTTTGGCAGCGTTAGCAGAGGGAGACCAAGAGAAAGCGAGACAGAAAGAGAGAGAGAGAGAGAGAGCGAAAGAGGGAGAGAGGGAGATAGAAAGAGAGACAGAGAGACTCTCAGAGAGAGAGAGAGAGAGAGAAAGAAAGAGAGCAAAAGAGAAAGAGAACGAGAAAGAAGGAGAAAGAGACAGAAGAGAGAGAGAGAGAGAGAGAGAGAGAGAGAGAGAGAGAGCTAAAGAAGAAGCTAACACATAACGATAGTGAGATAACTCAAAAAGAAGAGGAGAACAATAACTATGCTTCCTGTATGTTCAAAGCTTCGGCCCATCGGCTTCGCCGGCCCTACTGGTATTGAGAAAAGCTACTCACCTGCTGGCTCCCACCGCCCTTCTATCACGTACACAGGTTGAAATCGCTACCCCTCTTGGGGGTACAAACAAATGGCACACAAACAAACGGCACAAAATCCTCTACCTCATTTGGCGCTGGACAATAAATCGATTTTCAGTATTGATGGGGGGAAGTAGAACCTATCTCATGAAAATGGGAAGAAATGAGACCGACACTTGCGTCCCAGAATTCGCCTCGCCTGATGATCCAAGATCCGCTTTCTGCCAGCGGGCCCGCAGCATTGCTGCGCGGCTCCTCGCTTTGGATTGAGCCAAGCAATCTAACGAAGGGACATTATCAAATTGTTCAATTACAAAAGGCTTGCAGAATTCATTCAGTACTGATCATTGGCTGACAGGGGAGGAACCCCATCAAGCAAACGTTGGCAAGCAGGCCAAGGCCACATTAGGCAACATACATCAGAAGGACGAAAGTTTATGCCTCTTCTTGGTTTCTGCAAAGCCGCGTGGATCACTGGCGGATCGAATTTCCAACTTCGTTTTATGTTTCTGGAGTGGGACGGTCAATTATCACCCTCTTTTAATTTTAAAATACTTTAAAGGCTTTGGAGTGTGAAAATTCAACTGCGAATGACCCAGCAACAACTTGCCGGATTCTAGGAGAAAGGGTTGTGTTTCAATGTTTCTTGAGAAGGCCAGGCACAACTTTTGTCCTGGTAGTGTATTCAGCTAAAGTCAAGTTGTTCAAATACAAAAGGCACCCCGGCAAACGGAACCTGGATTTTCCTCTTAAATGGAAGGCCCTCCTGTTGCTCAACCAGTTGGTCAGTTATGCATGATTTTTCCTAGCTGTCCTCAATCAGCTCGTGACGAATCACGGAGGCCATGTCCTTAGGTGACGGTTGCTCTCAAGCCGACAGAATGCGACCGCTCTGTACGTCAACTTCTCTTTGCCCTGGTCATTGTACACCCAACCTGGGATCTTCATCTTTTCTACCATTTTGGAGGGCAAACATGCAACAGTTGACCTAAGAATTCTCAAAGGATTGGGAATCTTTCAGGCCCGATTCCTGGTGAGTCTCCGATTGGAGGCCGTCAAAGAAAGGGCGATGGTGGGAAGTTCTCAGGGCCTCTCCCTGATTTATTGATTGATGGTTCTCTTGAGCATCAAAAATCATGAGACCTGCATTGTAAAACAGCCCGCCTTAATGGATGTTGAGCAGCCAGATACAAAACTCGGAGATGATGGGCAAAACCCCACCAAAACCATTCCTCCAAAGTAGCTGCACCAGTGTACTGCATACTCTACTAGAAGTGTTTCCAACTTCTGCTTGATACTTAGTCTACCCTTAAATAAGTTACATATTTTGGGAGCGGGAGGATCCAACTGGCCCGGAAGACAAAGCAACTAAGTTCCTCAAAGAAAGCAACTGCCTGCTGCTGTCCCTTTTTGTCACTACCCCCGCCCTTGTCAATACATCAGCGAAAAGAAACAAGGTCAAAAGCCTCGTGCGGAACCGAGACAAATTTGCACTCGAGCTCAGGCGCCCTTGGCAGGCCGCACTTCACCTCGGCGAAGCGTTGGCAAAACTCCAAATTTGCATCGGCCGGGTGCAGAAAGGCCCCCCGAAAGGAGAACTCGTGTTTTACGCCAAGAACTCAATGTGCCGTGGGTGCGGGGCGCAGGAGAAATGAGACTGAGCAAGACCATTTTCCAGGGGAACCTCCGCCCTCCCAGTGACTCTGGTGGAACAAGAATTGAACCCATCTTTTGATGATTGATGATTCTAGTGTGGAACTAGCGTGAAACCAAGCCAGACTGGGCCAGGAATCCATTGACTCCTGGCTTAACCCCAATCACAATCATATTTTCAGATTCTGCTTAAGTACTTCCGTTGAGCAGGAACCCATACCAAGTGATATCGCTGTTTTTTTCGGGGGGTAATTTTATCTCGGTTGACCTACGCTCTAAAACATTAAAATCACCAAGACCCTCCCCCACTGGAGCCTGGGGTTTTAGTGGGGATCCATCGCACACCACAGCCGTGGCGCTGTGATGTGCGACCTGCTCGGAAGCCTCACCCGGAAGCCCAACGAACACGCGTGCAGGCCTCGGCTTGCGCGCAGCGTCGGGGAGCATCGGGGGGGGGCCTTTGGGTTGGGCATGAACTCAAGTGGATCGGTTTCCATGGTCTGTGCGTGGCCCTCAACCACCCAACCACCAATCCAAATTACCAATTCGGTTCGGGTGATGATTCGAGCCGCCCTCCAAAACAGCAAGCAAACAGAACCTGCCAAAGCCAAGGAACACAGTAATTCCACCAGGGTGAAAGTAGGCGTGGGCCAAAGAAGATGATTCAACCAATGTGAGGAAACTGTGGCTACTTTTGCTCAACTGTGAACGCACCATTCCCCTTACAAGGTGTTTGCCCAGTTGCCCACTTTCACCCACACCAGGAGGCCTCTTTAGAGGAAACTCGTATTCCAAAACCTCCGGGTTCCGGGATGGTGGGATGGTATGCCCAAAGTTTCTCTTAGGGAACTCGGTCAAAACCAAGGGCGTAACTGCGCGACCTTGGGGATGTGTCCCATGCCCATCGTACATCACACACTCATTGGCTGGAAGCTAAAGGGAACCATTTTTGTTGAAAGAGGCTGTATATTGACGGAAGGGGTCTGCAACGTTATTTTCAAACCAACCGGTTGAAAGGCTCAAGTCTAAACACTTTTCCATCAGAATGCCCTTTCACATGGACAGCAAGCATATCGCAGGGATTAAATGAAGGAACATCTATCCCACCAACGCTTCTGGCAAGACTTGTTCGAGGAAACCAAAGCTCTACTTATGTCTGATTCTGTTCTTCCTTTTTTTGGAGGGTTGGGGGCATGACTACAGATCAACCAAAGTTCCAACGCTGGCAAATCAATATGTCCTACGGCACCTTTTTCTGGATAGCCATGCTGGGCGCTGTTTTTATCGCCGCCCGAGGCCCGTGCAAAGCCGCGGCTCCACATCCTGCCCCGAGCACCGAGCTGACTAGACCGTTTCAGAACCCTTAACGTGAATGAATCGGCTTTTCGGACTGACGGAACGCCAGCTTGGGGCTGTTCCCACAACCTCGGCGCCACTGCTCTACATGCACCTGGATCTCATGCCTTCCAGGAGTCTGAGTGCTTGAAAAAACTGAGCAAAGCGACGCTTGAGCGAAAACATCTGTTCTTAAAAGTCCTTGCTTTTGCCACTCACATTGGCTTCCCGAAAAGTAAAGTGCATGAGCTCAGGGGTGTTCTTTCTACCTTCATCGGATCTCCTAGGCCACAAAAAACCTTGCACCATATATTGCGCAACACCGCAGTCCTCGCCACTTGTCAAAACGGCTGGGGAAGCAAGTCTTTGTGTTCCAAAACGGCCAAGCTATTAAAAACAGTTTCTGATCCTTCTGACAAATGATAGTGGCCTCCCTTGTTGAAATGGCTTCCGACTACAGGTTAGGACTTCGGATCCCCTCATTTTGACCGACCCAGTTGAATGATTTGCTGGTTCTCCCCGTGCTTGCGCAATATCATGACCCTTCTTCTCACATTGCTGGTGCAGTCCTAGGTCCGTTCCTCACCTTTTCCGGATCCTCCTCTGGGACCAAAGGCCAAAAGGTTTCGGTAGAAGGATACATCCAAAGCACCACAAGACGATCCTCCAAATCAGCTGGTGTTTGGATAGAAGCCCCTATGGGCTCTGTAGCCCCCGAATGCGAACCGACCGGCGCTGGCCCAAAGACATCCTCTAAGGACTCTATAAGTCCAGAACAAAACAGGGGTCACTGGATTTCCCCGATTTCCTTTCAAAATGAAAAACACAACGCATATTCATTTCGACCAATGAAAGCGAGGAGCCCCCAGAAGCGGCGCCTTGGCCATGGCCCGGGAGGCGCGTTGAAAGAGCGCCACGTCCGCGGCAAAGGCCATGCTGTCCAGGTACTTGGCCTCAGAAGTCGTCCGTCCGGTTCCTTCGTCTCACGTCCGGTTCCGGTGGATTCGCCGAAACAAGTCGTCACCCATTGCTTTTAGTTGGCCACTGAAATGGTGCAAACCTAAAAAGGTGGCGGTTGTTTGGGTGGCCAAATGGCCATGCTGAACCACTTGGGCGTGTCGAGGGTACCCCCCGTTTTGGTACAAAGGGAACACCACTCGGGGAGTGGACGGGCCTGTTGGTGGGCCAAATGATTTCAACCAAGCCCCCCCAAAAAGGGACTAAAGTCCATGAACTCAGGAAGTGAGCGGTAGGGTACCATCCCAAACCATGGTGTGTCGTTCTTGGGTATACTCTGCTGTGTTGAGTGGTTGAAAGGGAACACCACCAGGAGAACCAACCACGTTTTTGGGGGTCCTTGAAAAAAAACACGCCCAACTGTTTCAGAATGGAAAAGTCAAACAGGCTAGAGGCTGGAGGGTATGCTGGATGGAATGTTCGATGTGGATGGAGTTGTCTGCCATAAAAAGTTGAATCCTCGAAATCAGCTTGTAAAAGTGTGTCTTTAGCTGGCCCCTATTTGCATCCGGTCAGGAAGCTGTTGGGGACGTCCTTGAGACAACCTCTGCAGTAGAAAGGCCAGATACCTTCAAGTTGCTTTGACAACGGCTAAACTCAGTGTAGCGTAAACCACAGGCACGTCATGTATCCTGCCAGGAGAAAAGATCATACCCATCCGCCCCCTTAAACACTCCCCACCAAAGGGCACTCAATCAAAACTGGCAACCAGCAGGCACCCCAAGAAAGTTTCAACCAAACAAGGGGCAGCATTGTCACAACCATTGGCTCAGTTGCCCAAAGAACCTAGAAATACAAGGTGAACCGTTTGGGGCTAAAAGTAATTTCCAAAACTGGAAAGGCAAAACGAGTTGCTTGCAACTGAGACTGTCACACCCTCAAGCATTTCCATTCCAACACCGTAAATCACCAATTGGCTTCCCATCCCATTGACTTTGGAATCAAAAAGCAATGCCCGGCTAGAACCAGATTTGGCCAGAAACATAAGATACTTGTGTAACTATTCAGTATTTGCGGAGCCGTGAATATGAACCTCTTGGCTATCTTCTTTTCGACTGGCTGTTGGCTCGTCTCTGGGAACTCTCACCGAAAGGGTTCCGCATTTTGAAGTCTTCGGATGGGTTTTGGGCTTGCTTCAGCTCGCGGAAGTGCACTCAAGTTGACCACCCCATTCGCTGTCCTGGCCTTTTGACGGTTGATTCACAAACCGACCATGTTGAAGATGCCCCCAGCTCGGAGTCCGGCTCCCTTGCAACCAACAGCTAGAGACGCCATTTTCAGACTCAAAACGATCAAACTAGTCGCACCCGGTCACCCGTTCTGTTTGCTTCAGCCCCTGCTTCACCCGGGCCGTAAATTAGGGAGCAAAACGACCATGCCCTTTTCATCGGAAAGCAAACGCAGAATCATGATTGAGAACAGGGCAAAACCAGAATTTGCTCACAATGACAACTGGAGCGTATTAACATTTGTTTGGCAATGGTGTATTTGTCCCTCATCCAGTGTTCACTAGGGCTGTTTCCCAAACGTACCCTCCCACCAATTAACATGGAACCTGGCAGGGGGTCCCTTGACAAGGAACATGGTCTTCCAGGACCCCCTGTCAGGTTTCATGTTAATTGGTGGGAAGGCAAGAGGAAATTCGCTTGTACGCTCGCTTTGAGCCTCGGCTCATTCGAGAGCTCCCCTTTTTTCTGGGCGCCAGGCATCCCCGGCGATGCCGGGGGTCTTCAAGCCTGCCATAACGCCCAGCTTGTTGATGTGCACCCGGATCTGGTGGGTGCGCCCTGGCGCAAGTTGGATCCTTCCCGTGTTCGTTTGCCTTGGGAAGTTGTCGGCAGATTGGTCCGTCCTTTGGGTCCAAGCTGCTACATGCGCAGCCCTGAAACAAATGGATTCCCGGTTCGTGCCCAAGCCCTAGCTTCTGACCTGACGTATCAAGGCCCATGCAACGTAAGTAGACTAGTTCTGCAATGGCTTCCCTTGTCTGAGCCAGAAAAATGGATGAACTCCCTCCCCGTGGTATCCTGCAAATCAGGCGTGGCCAGGGGGGGGGGGGGAAGGAGTGGCGTTGCGTCCAACTGTGCATCTGTTGGTTATCCCAGTGTGCATAGGGTTTCATATGGTTTCATCCACCCCAACTGGTGCCGATCGGCGTGCGCACAGCATGTGCTATGTGTCGCCTATATTTGTTGAACAAGTTCGGAAACCGAAAGGTACTTTTTCCCCAACGGCTGAAAGCCATGGGGTCTTGCCCAGCGGGTGGATTAACAATTGTTGCATGCCGTGCCTGTGACGATGCGCAGCATCATCAGGGTGAAGGGTCTGGCGCTCTGCTTGCCTCGTCTTCAAGTCTCCCCCGGTATTTCCCCGTCAACGTCCCAAAAGACACGGTGGATTGCCCAACTCAGTTCCTGAGTGGATGGCCAACAGTCTGAACTTCATATCTATATACCACTAAAATGGTCTTCACGAAAAGTATGGAGTCAAGACACTTGGGAAGAGAGCCAAGGGCTGATCTTTCAAACCACACTTTAAGGTGAACATGATAGCGAAGCCCTGTTCCATGTATGAACAGCGCGAAGTAGGAAGCGAGAATCCCAGTCGGAAACGCGGCCAAGTAGGCCCGCCGCAAGACTACTTTGTTCTTTTAGGAAAGCACACCAAGCTAGGGCGTGTTTGTTCTCCTTTCCACAGGTTACTAACGAGTAGGCCGATTCACACATTGGACCAAACGCCTATGTCGAAATGCCAGCAAAGGGAGGGACTGGATTCAGTGACTGGATCGTGCCCTGCATGGCAAGCTCCTGGTTTTAGTGCGGCACCAGATCCAGGGCTGGGGGTGCCTTGAGCTTGGCACCAGACGCGGCGCTTTCTGAGGCCCCGTGCATTTGTAATGTCTCAGCGCAGCATAGTGAGTGATGGCGGGCAAGCCTTAGATGACAGGCAAAGAAGTTGCTCAAACAACTTCCAGGAACAATTGACAACATAGGCATCTCCTGGCGAACCCATTCGGGCAAAATGCATGGCCGACCATTCTGCAAGGGAAGCTTCTGATTGTATCACTTGGACACGTTCTGCACAAAAACAAGCAATTCATGGAAATGACATGCTCAAAAAGGCAGGCAGCAAATCGCGCGATAAAAATGACAAAACATCATGTAGCCCTCTTCACTGCCCACGAAAGGAGCACAGCTTACACACAAATGTTACCAGCTGCGTGCGGACCAACTCAGGACCCTTCAAGCGCTGCCGCGGAGCCCCAATCTTCGTCCACGAAGGTCCTGCGGCCAGATTTCAGGGGCTCAAAAATGCGGCAGCTTTTTGTTAAGTAAGGGTGCCCTTCTTGGGGAGGGTGTGAAGGGCAACAAACCTAACTTCCTGAGCGGATTCGCAAAAATAGGGTTCAAACTTTTAGTTACCGCCAAAATGGTCGCAAAAAGTTTAAAGTCCAGGAACGTCAGGAAGCGAAAACCAAAGACACCCACTATTTTTGGGTTCCCCTATCTTGGCACATGCCCAAACGGAGCACCCAACCTCATTGTCCACCTGGAGCTTTCGCTGGCTGCATTTTGCTTGGTGAGCTTGGGAGTTCAACCAACTGAGTAAGTGGGTGGTAAACATGGTTGTAGCTGGGGGTGACTGGAGTTAGTCCTTGTAACCTACCTACTAAGTAGCTTGAAAACCCAAGAAGGGCTTGTGACCCACCGGAGAACCCTTCCCCCTCCCTCGCCGCCCCGTGGCCAAAAATGGTCCAGAAGCCCACAGCTTCGCGCCCAACAACCCGAATCAAGCCATGGATTCATGACAAAGCTTGGCCGCGCCACTGTGACCAGCTGTTTACTGTAGTTTCTCCCTTTAAGCCCACGGGCACTGAAAGGAACGACACCGTGGGACACCCTTCTCTCAAACTGAAGCAGCTACAAGTCCTTGGTCAAGGAGCCCGACCTCTTTAAAGCAACAAACAAGAAGGATGCCCTTCTTGAAAAGCTAAAGTGGAACGTGTCAAAAGTGTCACGCTTTGACACTTCAACCATGGCCAGCTCACTTTTTTCCCCTCTCCCCGTCCTGTATCCGTAGCCCTCCCGCTCGGTGCGTAGCTTGAACTTCACAGTGCCCTCGACCTGCGACGATGATTGGTTTCGCACGGGTGTTTGGCGTCAAAGGGATGTTGGGATGGCTGCCCTCTCAAGCTGAACAAGGGGTGCGCCATGTTTTTTGAGGATACCCCTCAAAAGGGGTTGGCAGAAAAATGGAAATGAGGAAACTGACCTGTCTTTTGGTTCTTTATCTGGAGACAGAACAATGACCTAGCACGCCTGTACATGTAGCACTTCTAACAGGTATGTCAAACTAGAATTTCGGCCCCAGAATGGTGACCTGCTAAATTCCCCTTGACCCACCCTTGAACGGGTGCCCAAGGGTGACCCCAAACAATCACACATGTCAAACTCAAAAAAATGGGGAAGGAAAGGGAAAGCTTTGGATGCTCCTGTTCGATCAGCACAATCGACATTTGCTCCCTGACAAGGAGAAACTAACGGAAACGAAACCAATCTACCCTTGGTCTGTGATCACGTTGTAGAAGGGTGGGGAATTAGAACCCTACTTTGGGCTTGAGACGGAAACCCGAAGCCGAACAAACCAACTGTCTGAGAATCTGGGAGGGTGCCTTATTCCGAGACGGGCGGAATTCCAAGGGGATCCGTGTCCGTTTCGTACAAGAACTTGCCAAGATGAGCTCAAGGTAGTCGAGGTGTTCCGGTAGCTTGGCATCACCCGAGCTAACACCAAGATCTTCCATGAACAGTATGTGTCGGCATGGGATTGGAAAGCATCTCAATTTTCCTCAAGCAATCTTGCCATGTACGTGCAAATCTGTATACATACAAACATGCAGCCCCTCACAACTGATGCATTAGGCAAGGGGTGTGAGGCAACATTTGGATCTAGCAGAAGGGCGGGGGGGGGGGGGGGGACCGGGTTGAAAAAACAGGCTCAGATCGAAATTAACAATTGGGGTTGAATAAAACGGGTCCCCATCCCTTTGCCCACCCCAACATCCTGACAAACTAACGTCCCCCCCCCCAATCAGCACAAAGCGGTGCCCTTCCTCGTGAGTCTTCCAAAATCATCAGTGAACTCTGGTTGCAGCTGAGACATGGATCTCCATAAGGGATCCTGAGGTTGCAGCCTCCCCCACTTTTTTTAGGAGGTCAGCCAGTATCTGCAGCTACCATGGGCCTTCGGGAAGTGGCAAACCCATGAGGGTCAAGGGATTCCCTCGTTAGGGTTGAGTGGTTCAGAGTCAGCTTGCAAGTGGCTGGAAAGATCGATTTCCGATTTTCCGCGTAAGGGCCCAACCTCAAACCAAGCCCTGGGAACCTCCAACGAACCCTTTTGTGTCTTTTGTGTCCAAATCAAGCAAACCACATACATGGTGCCCCTTTTGGTTTTTCCCATTAAACCGCAAACGAAAAGGGATAGCCCCAACACAAAGGAACCCTTTTCGCTTCCCCAGAGGCGGCCTGGCGAGGCGGTAGCCACCCGTGCATGAGGCACACATAGTCCTCAAACCGCCCGCGGCGTGGCGTGGCGTTTCGAACTCAGAACTTGGATTCGGAGAACAACAACACGTGTGCCAAGTGGTGGTCAAAAAGGGGGTGCCCAAAATGGAACCCTCAAAAATACGTTTTGATGAGACATTTGACAGTGGTCAAAAATGGGGTAACCCCAGGTTCTGGGTAGACCATTTTACCAGGCTTTGATGACATGTGTGGCTGTGGTGGTCAAAAAAAGGAACCCCAAAATGGCTTGCCCGATCGGCAAATGGAAACATGGACTAAAATGCGCGCTTCATATCCTGGTGTTTAGCTTTGACCCCATACCGATTTGTGTTTCTCAAAAGTAGGGTTACCCCAACCTGGCTTGCAGGGCTGGGCAACATTTGCAGCGCGAAGGATGCAACTGCAGCTTCCAAACTTGTTGTGTGAGTGCATGGTTCATGGTCGCGCTCTTGGTTCCTGGGCCCCCCCCTTCCTTTGCACTAAAGAGGAACGGTACGGGTGGAGAGAACTCTCAAAAGCACGGCTTCCCTTTGACTCCACCCCTTTGTGGGGTAGCCTCAAAAACTCCCATGGGAATGGTTCCTTGATGCGGTTCCAGGTCCAGTGGCCTTGGTTCGCAGAAGAAATTGTTGGAACCCCTTGGCTAAGAATAGACAAACGCAGGATCCATTTGAAGTTTTGGATTTCCCGAGAAGCCACCAAAACATGCCTCGTGCCAGGTGCATTTCGGGAAAAGTCCGAGATTCTTACCACGAACATTGTCTTCCTGAAACGGGTAGTGCAGAATGCTGGCCACTGAGCGATGGTCAACTACTCTTCCTGCGTGGGGGCTAAACAAAGTCCAAGCTTTAGTCCAACTTGGGAAGTAAGGCAACACCGGGGTTGGCCCAAAACACATGTACTTTTGCTGCTACTTAGATGGTTGTAAGAACCTTTACGAACTGGTTGTGGCCGCAGGCTGTTTCTGAAGCCTGGGAGGTAAACACCCTTCAACACACGCCGACCCGGGTTTTGAAAAGCAGGGGGGCTAAACCACGTCCCACTCCCCTCACCCGGTATCTCACTAGAAAAACTCGGCGAACCTTTTGGAACCTTCCCGAAACTCAAACCTGGGCGAACAGCGCCCCGTCAAAGCGATGCTCCTTGCACCAGCGCCGCTGGTTCCGCTGCCGCAGCAAATCCTCCAAGGTCGCAGGCTCGTTGCCCACCTGGTCGCTCGCACAGGCCCCATAATTGAGTCACCTCCTAAGTAATAGGCTAGAGGGAAACACCCCCAGTTGCTGATAACCCAAATTATGACCCCAGTCGCACCAATGGGTGACAGTGGCACAACTCCCTTCACGTGAGTAGAGAAGATGACGAAATCCCAAAAGGGACTTGTGTCCACCTATTTTCAGCCAAAAGAACTTGGATCTCCTTAAAAGGACCAAGCAAAAACTGGGTCATACCTCGTACAAAGGCACCATCTGACTCATTGTGGTTGAATCTCGTATCCCCAACCCCGTCCAACTTTTTTGCCAACTGTGGAAACTATACTTGGATGTCGTGCCAAGTTAGTAAGCGGTTACCTTTTCGGGTAACAGGCTTAACCTCACTCAAGGGGGGGCGGCTTATAAGTAGGTTCTGACCTGGGTTGCCAACAACTTACTACTTTGCCGATTTGCCCCGCGCACATATTCATTCCCTGCTTTACCCTCGAAAGGGCGATCTACTCGCGGAGGTCCCTTTTGAGAGGTTGGATTCCTTCCTTTGTAGGGATCAAGGACGCTTAATGACTGGCTTTCTTTTTTAAAATCAGCGGTTCCAACCTGAACCGCGCTAAATCGCCATGAAACTGCAATGCCTGACCCCTCCAACAAGGGAAATAGTGGGAGTCAATTTTTGAGGGTAGCCCTCTTGCGGTTGGCTGAAAGGAACACCACACGCATACAAAAAAGCACGCCGACCGCATGGCCCAAGGAACCCAAAAACGGCTGGCGCCCCAATGGGCCACAAGCCGAGCTGCCAGGAGCAAGCCGCTGGTCGGGGAGTCTAGGCGGTGGCAAATGGCCTGGGAGCTTCGCTTCGGAAGCGAAGAAGATTCGCCCGACGAACTCGCAGAACCCAACAAGCTGCCCATTTCGATGAGTCGCTTCTTGAGTACCTCGCTGATTTGCAGGGGGGTAAGGGGAGGGGGGGGAAAAGGGGCTCCTCCCTCAGCAACATGCGGTCAATCACAGAGGCTCTCTTGCCAATTCAGTGATCGATCAACTGTCCCCAAGGTTTACCTGTCCCACCGTGGAAAATCCGCCGGCTACGCTTCACAGAGACTTGGTCCATTTCATCAGATGGAAGCGACCAAGCAATGCGCCATTGGCTTGAAGGGACAACGCGATGGCACTGGCGTCGGTCCCACCCCGAAACTGTTTGGCGGAAAGAAACCCTCCATACAGTGTGTCCCGTGTACCAACGTGAAGGGAAACTCATAGGGCAGGGGATGTTCAAGTCAAAGGGGAATGGATCAGGGAGGTGAGATGTCGGACTTCCAAACTCATGTCCAATTCGGCCCGGAAAGACAAGAGCACATAACCGAACGGGTCAGCTTGCTTTGGATTGAAGGTTCCCCTGAATTCGCACCACGCTTGCATTGTAATTACCAAAGTTGGGGTTGGAACATCTCAAAGAGGACAACCCCCCTGAAATGACAGGTTTGCGTGTTTGCAATACTTGAAAACAGACCATCGAACTTTTGCATGTTTACAATTAACATGTCTAAATGAAGGTTCTTCCGAACATGGCCGTTGTGCTGATTGTGGTAAAGCGACATAATTACTAAACAACTACCCTCCGAGTTCATGAATCTGAACTATCATTGTACAGGAAGAACTATCGGTCTCATCATCACTCAGCCCTTGTTGTTCGGGCTGTCTCCTTTCTTTGGTGGCTGGTCCCGCTGATGAGTAGAACCACTGGCGTTGGCACCGGCTCCGGTTTCACCGGCTCCGTGACGAAGTGCCGTCGCCTCGATGGATGCTCCATTCAACCGAAGAACATTGGCTCGTGTCATATCCTTCTGGTCAAAGTACGAACCATCAGACTGTTGAGCGTAGCTGCTGCTCGTATTGTAGGAGCTCCTCCAATTGTTATGCCTGCGTCGGCATCATTGGCGAGGTCCACATTGACCGTTGCGATTGAAGCATCACCAACCACAATGACAATAATGGTCTCATGTCCAAAGATATGACGGATCAATGGAGTGAGCCAGGCTGCGATAGTCTGGTTCGTAAATGAACTGGTGTCACCCTCCGAATTGTGGTTTGAAGGGGAGCCACTCCCCAAAGCCCTCTTTTCACGGTTTCCACCTTCACGCGTGGGTTGAGCCCGGTTGGAACATTCCAAGCTGCCGCATCTGTGTCGTCGATGCCCAGCTGGTTCACGAACCTTCCCACGCCGATACTGGTGTTGTGCCTGAGGATGGAAGGGCGTGCCGCATAGTGGTCTCGCAACCACTCCCCTTTGCAAGTAGCAACCAAAACCCAAATCACCTTAAGCAAATGATAAGCCCCTCCTAGTGACGCATACCAGTGATAATATCATGCCTACAATAAATTTAGGCCCAGTCAAAAAACGTATGAAGCACGGAGGTATTCTAACATTGGGCCCATTAGGGATCCTCTTTTGAATGGCACTACAAAGGGGAAACGCACAGCCATACTGATGGCACGACTGAAGCAGTTTTTCTGGCACAAGGCTGCTAGTTTCAGCGATTCTTTCGGTTTCCTTTGAATTCCACCTTGAAACGGGAACCTTGAATGTGTCTCTCTTTTGGTTTCTCCTTAAACCAATCTTGAAGAAGCCGCCCTCCAAGACGCCTTCAAACACACACGTTTGCAGAGCTGATGTTGGAGCAGAGCGGCGGATCGCACACGCACTTGGGCGGCTTAAAAAGGAGGAAGAAGCCCGTGCCCGTGTACACAATGCGGGGCTCCTGTCTGAGCAAGGCTCACAGGCTCACGACTACCGACACGAGGTGTGGTCATTGCTGAGAGGATCCCAGCAACGCTGTCTAAGCAAAGAAAGGGAAGACATCAACAGAAATGAAGCACCGACCCTTTGGGGGGCAATTGCGCAAGCAAACGTGACGCTGGAACATTTTCTGGAATTCAGCTAAGCCAGAAGCTAGATCTGATGGAAACTCTGCTGAAACTTGTCTGGAGAAAACCGTCGACAAATTTCAGCCATGGAAGCCTGCCCTGGGCTGTTCGGGGCCACTTTTCTGCAAAAGCCATGCTACCGAGCTTTGGTAGGCATGAAGGCCAATGAGTCGGAACCGACTACAGCTCCTATATTTCCACAAACATCACTTCACTACTCAAAAAAATATGTTGGGAACCCTATTACTGGTTTTATCTGTCCACGGCCAGGGGCATTGCTTTGCCTCCTCCTCGGCTTGCATTGAATTGCACACGCTAAGGGAGGAGGGAGGAATAGGTAGGGAATGCCCCGGAGTGTTGGAAAGAAACCGACAAGGGATTTCCAGGATGGTTTGCTCTCGGGGTCATACCCTCATTCCCTGAGAGCCAGCAAGAAGAACATCAGCTCGGGGCGAAAACCCCTGCCAAATGCATCGGGGGATCCCGGTGAACGGCTGGCTTTGTTTGCTGTTTTGTGCTTGGGTTAGTATCCTAGGTTATATCCTTCTCACAACCAAGCGAACTGCACTTGGGGGGACCTATATGGAATTCGGTTATAACCCAAGGTACCAACAACTTACTAACTTGGCTGAACACCGAAGTGAGGACCCTCTTGAAGGTTCCCACATTGGGTCATGATTTTTGGGGCCCGCTAATGGACGCTCACTAATAAGCCTCTGGTTCACTAACAGGGTTGTCCCCTTTCAAAGGGATCTTCACCCTCCCCCCTCGCACCAGCATTGAATTCGGGGTTACTCAATTCCACTGAAAATTCAGGGCGCCAAAGAAAACAGAAAATCCAAAGTGCCACAAGCAGGGCGCCGTCGAACCCGTCAGTACATATGTCCTTTGCTTCGCCTTAGCCAAACAAAACAGGCCGGGCAGAAAGAGCCAGCCGTGCTCCTGGGCATCCATCGCCGCAGCGACCGCGCTCTCATCCTGAGACCCGAAGTTCCCGTCACGTGCGCCACGCAGCAGTTACCACGTTTGGAGGAACCAAAAAAGGGAATGGCTGGGAGACCCGTTTTTGTGGAATTCCAGATCTTCCATTGGCTTTTACGCCCCCCTTGGTGGTTTCCCATCTGGGAATTCCAGACCTTCCATTGGCTTTTTTGCCCCCTGGAAAAAATGAGACAGTATGTCCAGCAGTGATAGCTTCCCGTCAAAACCAACAGGAAATTGACATGTTCGTGAGCGAACGGAAGGTCGTCTTTGCTTTGCTTTGCTTTGCATTGCTTTGCTGTTGGATTGTCAAGGCACGATGCCATCAAGGCACACGCATATCAAAATTCACTTCACACTTGGTGGCTTATCCCATGAAGGCTGTGTCCATCTCTCAGTATTCTCAGAAGGAAACTCTTGGGATTGCCACGTTGTGGTGAGGAAAGAAGCGCCCTGTTAAAAGGAAGCCATGTTGGTGGAATGTCTGGGCCATTGAGTCCTTTACCATATGAAGAGCCGCACGTTACTTCCACATGGAAAAGGGTCATCTGGCACCAAACACTGCCGGGCTGCCCGCAATGCTCCCCCACAGTGACTCAGGGTTCCAAGTTTTCTGTGGGCTTATGAAGGGAAGGTACCTTGCTTGGCGCCTGTAAACAGCTTAACCCCACGTGGAGAAACAACATGTCCGACCAACAGGTGTCACTGGATTTCCCTTTGAAAAGTTGCAATTCACCGGTGGCTTCTTTTGAAGATGCCACTTTTGGAGGTTCTACCCCCCTCCGAAATGGGGCGTCACATATTTGGCAACACGGCCGTACTCGGGCGCCCGTAAGGCCGTAATGGCAGCGCTGGATTCAGATTGCCCCAAGCATAGGGCCCATTTGCCCAGCGACCCGGGCAAAAACAGGGGATTTGTTTAAACTGTGGAATCCACTGAGCAACTGGACAAAACTGGACCTTCCTCTTGCGGCAAGTTGCGACCAGAGCTTCTTCAGACGGCCTCGGACGGACACAAGCATGCAATTGAATCTGGACTGTTCACAAGCCAAGCTGATTTTCCAATCGTCCCCTGAGGGTTTTCTCCGTTCCAGCTGGTGGATCACTGATATAGCGCTAAGGCGGGACATCGTCACACTCCAAGATGGTTTGAAGCAACTTCACCTTCCAGCCCTTGGTATGGTAGCAAACAACTTGTTTTTAGCAGCCTACCAACAAATGAACAGAACCAAACCTAAACACATGCTACTCCCAGAAGTAATTCGGAGACCCCTGGAAGATTTATGCTCGCACTTGTCGGCCGAGGATCCGTGACAAACTTGCATAAAGGGTCGGCCTCACGTTGCCAGTAGTTGACTCGGTTTTAGGCGCGACCCCTTTGAGCCGTTCACTGGGGTCACTGGGTTGTCCCCTAAAGTTGATCAATTTCTAGGTCCTCCAGTAGAGAGGTTAGAATAAGGGTACCTGGAGCCCTCGACACCCATTCTTTAACGGTCGTTCTTGCAAGTTTGGGTGGAAACGCCCTTTTCTTCCAGAAACGCCCTTTTCTTCCGGCGCCGTCTGTCCTCGTGCTCCTATGTTCGCTGCGTGTGCAACACACACGCAACACATGAAATGACACGAAACCCACGAAGCCCATGAAACTCACGAAACGCATGAAGACGCTGGAATTTCACGAAGAGCACGAAATGCACGAAAGACCATGAACCCACAAACCTAGAAAACCCATGAAACGCACCAAAATGCACGAAGTGGACACGGGGGCGCCGGAGCCTCACGAAACGTACGAATCAAGCAAGTGCATAATAATAAAAGACCCACGAATCCCGAAACCAACGAAACGCACGACGTCGGATGCACAGCACAAAATATTCCGAAGCGCACGAAATACACGAAATGACCGACACGCGCAAACACGTCCTTGCCACGAAGCCCACAAAAACGGGCCAACCCCACAAAACCCATGAGGCGCACGAAATGCAAATGCATGCGCAAGAAGTACGCGAAACGCATGAAATGATCGCGAAGCGTTAAACGCATGAACCGTGCGAATCACACAAGCACGCAAACCCCTGTGAAGCCCCTTTGAATGCAAAATACGCATGAAAACGCAGGAGCCGCGCCAAATGAACGAAGTGCAATACATCAGGAACCCCACAAAACGTGCGAAAAAAATGAAATGCGTAACACGCACTGCGTTGAGTCAGGAAAGCTTGTGGGAATACTTGCTGGTGATGCTGAGGATGCTGTTGGTGATGGCGCAGCAAGCACAAGATTCACCTTGAAAAAGCACAAAAAGCAGGAAGAAAAGTGCACAAAAGGCGCAGAAAACGAACAAACGCACGAAACGCGTGAACAGCTCACGAAATGGCCCTTTTGGAAACACAATTTGAAGGCACGGAACACACGAACAAAGCGCACACGAAACGCACGAAATGCTGAAAACCGCTCGAAATGCCCAGGAAACAAAACGCACGAAACGGGCGAAACGTGCGAATCGCACGAAAAGCGCCGGAAAAGCGCACGAAACGCACGGACAGCGGATGTAATGCCCCAAATAGGAAACGAAACGCACGAAATGTGCGAACAAAAGCACGAAACGCTCAGGAAATGAAACGCACGAAACGCACGAAATGCAGGGTATTGTAGTGAAACAAGCGGAACAAAAAACACGAAACATGTAAAACCCGGCCGCGAAACACACGAAACACACAAAACGCACGAAACTGCACAGGCAAAAACGCTCGAAATGCAAAATCACACGAACACAAACCCTTAAATTCGCGATTTTCCCGGGCGGCCGTGTGATTCTCCTGCTGGCCGCCCGGAACTGCCTGTTGGCCACCCGGAACTGCCTGTTGGCCACCCGGAACTGCCTGTTTCAAAAAAAACAATTCTGCTTATGCAGCCACCAAGTCCTTTCCCAACACAATGTTTCGCGCGAAATTTGGCGCTTTCCCAATCTTGCAACTGCAGTTCCCCATGCAAACGGGCCGAGATCGCACCGGCCAGGATAAGACCGCGAGCTTTCAAGGCTTACCAACCTCGGAATCCCACTTAGCCTGGCCCAACCTTCTCACAACTCAAACTTGTTTGATATAATATATATATATATGTATACAAATACCTACATAGAATATAGGGCTTCGGATTGACAGACATGTCCGCCGAAATTGGAGAACGACGCTTTTCGCCTTTTGGCTGTTTGCATTTCTTCTCGTTCTTTTTTTGCGGCAAACTGTTGTTCTTTGCGCTTGGGCTGTCAGACCTTACCAACTTGAAGCATTTCGCACCCCGCCCTGATTTAAGGGTTCCCGCCAGGATACAACCCAACCACCATGCAACGCATGCCAGTTCGTTTGAAGGACAAACCAACCCGCGCGTTGCAGCAGCTGATGTGGGCAAGTTCACAGCTTGTGTTAGGAGATGTTGGGAGTTCCCTGGCAAGAAAGGTGAGACTTTCGATGCTGGACACATCTCGCTGCTGCTCATGCGACGCATTCTTCAAATTTTGCGCAAAAGAAGTGCTGCCAGCTTGCTCCAAACCATTTTGCAGATTTGCAGCTTTTGCCCAAGCTCCTCCTAAATACCGCTTTTTGACACTTTTTCCCCACCCTCGATGTGCGGCGGAAATTTTGCACGACGTGCTTTTGGCGAAGAGGTTGTTGGCAGAATGTTGCGGCTGAGACGCAAAGTCTCCACGGGAAGTCCGGGCCGATTCAGTTTTCCCGTGGTAAAACATCATTGGGGAGACGTGTGTGAAACACTCGCACACCGACATGCGGCTGAGGGCTCCTGCAAAGCTCGACAGGCATATCCCTTCTTATGGTCTGCCCGTGAAGAAGGAATTTATGTGAAAATGTTCCTTCAAGCCTGTGTAGCAAGCTGAGCCTCATTGCATACTGGGGCATACTGTTCTCAGAGAGGCGCGCGAAGGAGTATCTTAATCCACCCAGCGTTGCTGAAAGCACGGTTCCGCCATTGCCCTTGCGGCTGCGGTGTTTCTGCTGGTTTGAGGCTGGCTTGTGGCTGATTTTCTAGAGATCGGCGAGAATTATTGACGCCATGCATTTCGGCTATGTTTTTGCCGCAGGAAGTTGAACAGGTATTGCGACAAAAACTGCCAGGAGGCCCAAACCGCCCGTTTGGCCCAAAACCGCCTGCCGGTGCAAACATCCACAAATAAGTGACCGTCAAAGGCTCCAGGTACCCGTTTTTTGTTTTTCTTTTCTTTTTTTTCTGTAGTCTATCTTGGTAGGGGAACCCTCCCAACCAAAAAAGGTGGCAAAAGGGCACTACTGGGGGACCTAGATTTACTGGTGTCTTTCACTCCACCCCAAGGCAGTTCTCCGAGCCCTTGCAGTCCACGCTGCTCTTCTGCCTCAAGCTCGGTGCCTGCCGGATGCAAACCCCGAACCCCAGCTGAAACTGCAGTCACAGCTGAGTTTCAGATCCGGTTTCGGCCACATCGACTCGAATCCGACAGTTGGCAAAAAGTTGGAGTTGCCATGAGGCCTTTCGATTCGAGCTTGCCCCTGCCCTTCGCCATCTACGGGGCCCGTTGGATTTGCACTCTGATCCAACCCTAAAGCCAAATCTGTACTGCAATCAATGATGATCTGGAGGAGGCGGACTTCTCGTCGGCTTCCACAGGACTCGAAGTGCAGCGCGCAGTTTCATTCAATCCAAACTACTGATTTTCCAGCCTGGTTTGGAGGTGCCAGAAAAACGACTCCAATGTTGCTTCAAGAGGAAAAGGTTCAACCCCAAGCCAACCCCAATCAACAAATGGTATCGCTACACAAGGGCTCTCAATTGCTCGAGGGCCAAGGTCATAAGGACCCAAAGCAAAACAGCCACAAAGCAGAACAGCCCAAACAGCTTTCCGCTAGGGAGCCTGGAAACAAACAAAGCATCCATCCCATCTTGGTTTCAACTTCAACACATACCAGCCCCATCCCCCCCCCCCCCCCCACATTTCCACCGTCCACATTTCCCCAAGTACTGTCCAAAGCAAGCGTCGGGATTCGGGTGCTGGTACATGCAATGCTCAGCACGGTTTACCGCTTGGGTTCACTGGGGGTGATTCACCGAGCCAACTGGGGTGGGATCCACCCCTCTAAAATATTACAACAGCCCTAACAGAGCATTCAAAATGGAACCAACGGAAAACCGATCCCAGGCGCGAGTCACAGACCCGAGAAACGCGATCGATCGACGTCTCCGGCGCAAGCGATGCCGCTCCTTCGAGGTTGGACTCCGCCGGCTCGTCCCAGTCACTCTCCTGACGGCTCGACCCTTCGGAGAAAAACAAATGGCCGGGGTTTGGTCCAGCTGAAAACGGGGTGCTGGTGATTTTTCTTTTTTGCCCCAGACGGTCTTCGAAAGATCCGTTTGGGTGATTCTGTTGGGTGGAAGCAGTTCGGTCGGAGAGTTGCTTTCGAAGGTTGTGATGGGGTGTGCGTTTGAAGGGTTGCAGGACACATTGCCATTAAAACATGGCAATGGCCCCGGAGAACGCAACTTGCAATGGGAGCCAAGATTTAAGGTTAACCTAGTTGGTTGGTATGGGGGAGGGGCTGTCGGTGACAGCCCCGTACGAAACTCGCCAGGTTGATATTCCGAGGTCGACACTACTGAAACATATCATTTTCAGGAAGGCTTGTTAGGGTTCCCCATGAGTCTTGCAGGGGAATGATCGGATATTCGGCATACAGGCAGGTGAATATGGAAGACCCTCAAGAGATCAATTGGCAGCCTACCTTGTTTCGGTCCGGCACAGGGTTCCCGTTGCCACCAGAAAGAAACTCTGAGCTGGAAGCTGAAATCACCCGAAAGCCCCTGCTGAAAAAAACAAGAAGCCCACCTTGAACATCAGAGATCTCCCAAAGATTCGGCTGCAAAAATGGGCCAAACTGCTACCCAGAGATGGCTGCCCACCGCTTCCCATCTGCATGCTTCATCCAGAAGTGGCCTTCTCACACGCCCAATGCCGCCTTGGAGGGGGCGCGTGGGATCCACTTCCAGTGTTCCATCCGTCCACTTCAGCCGCGCTCCTCGGAGTCGAAGTCAATCTCAGGCTCCTCCACCATATTGATGATTTGCGCTCCTCAGCCGGTAGGGTCCATGCCTTCTCCCACCCACAAATTGGACAGGCCATTTTTACAATGAAAGGATGCGCGACCCTTTAAACTGTTGGTATCACTTATGGGTGTGTCTTGTCAAAAAGCTTTCAATCTCCCTGCGAAAGTCTGGCCATGAAGAAAGGGGCACTTATCGTGACTTCCTGCGTGCATTTCGCCCAAGCAAAGCTCAAATAACAAGTAACAATTCCAGAAGCCGATGAAGGATGCACGTTTTTAGCACCCCCCCACCCTGGCCCCCCCCACCCAACAAGGAATCTGACTGGAGGATGCTGGCATATATTGTTCCTCTTCACTGGACCTTCTGGTGGTTCCACGGTAAGGAAAGGGACTAGTGCTCTGCAGTTTTCTGACAGTAAGTATCCCTGATCCTTTGAGAAACCAAATTGGGGAGGGATGTGCGAGGATTCCTTGCAGCACCCGCAAAAGGTCAGCTGCTTGCATGTTTAGTTTAGTGGGAACACCACTTTTCGCGAAAAGTCACAGGTTCGCGACCCAACCAAATTGGTATGTCACAATAGGGGTGCCCCATGCAAGCTGATTTGTTTTTGGCTTGCCCAAACAAAACGGGTACCCCTACAAAAACGACACACCCCAATAGCATTCAAGGTGTTTTCTGATCTCCAAGTTGCGGGTTGTGCCATCCATCCGCAGCCACGCCAGAGTGTTGCGGGGGCTGACTTTGGCCTCGTGCCAAGTCATCGTCGCCCCAAGTAGTTTGGGTTCCCGCCCCCCAAAACAAGCCATGCTCAAACATGCTTGAACCACAAGGGGCGGATATGGGGGACCCTCAGTTTTGATATCTGACTACTTTATGACCGTTTGAGGCAAAAGTCAGCCGCAACAAAAGCAAACCACATTCTGCCTATACAGCCATTCTTGGCATCGGCTTAGCCCTCCATCTCTAAGCAATTTGTGATTAGATGCGTGCGAACACTCTGCTCAGTTTGGGGACTTGACACATGGGGCAAACATGTAGCGACTGGAGACAAATACGCAACTTTGTCCAGGTCTTAGGGGCTGTTGGTAGCGTTTTGGGAAACCGAAAGGACACCTTCGCCATAGGGTCTCTGAAAATGGTTTTTTACCAGGCCTCAACATGGCTGCTCTGAAGGAAGCCAATTTCAGGGACCCCCAGTTTGGCGCATCGCCACTTTGCGGGACCGATGTCTTTTTTGGGAAGCACAAAGACCTTCCTGTTTTCTGGTGGTTTACAGAGACACCCATGAAAAACCACCTGCTTATGGCTAAGCCATACCCATGGCATTCGACACCTCCCCGGCCTCCTCAGCCTCTGTGCTCTGCGTATCCGAGTCCGACTTGGCCTGACCGGACGTTGCGCCAAAAGCAGACGACCCAAAACCCGAAACAAATAACCCGGCCCAAAAGGGCTGAAAACAGGGGGTCCCCACCTTGAACCCAGAAATGACATTAGATCCGTTCTTTTTCATGAATCAATGTAGTCAAGGGCATGAAATGGCTGTAGTTGTTCTTTGTTCGTCATTTTAGTCAAGGGCAACAAATGGGTGTCTGTTTTGATGGGATCCCAAAATGGTGGTTTTCCTTGTAATTTCCCCTTGCTTTCGTTGTAATACCCAGGAGAACAAAAAGGACCAAACAAAAACAAAAACACGACAACAGACTCAACGAACGTCTCCGATGGAGTTCTAAACGTTGACCCAACGAGGGCCGCCCTAAATCCTTCCGTGCCTCCGGCGCCCCTTGCACTTGCACACGCTCCTCGGATGCCGAGGAGCGACACTTGCCGAATCGGCCCCTTCCCCGTGTGGATTCCTTCAACACCTCGTGTGTGCAGGTTGGTTGCCTTGCTTCCTTTCTTTTTGTTGGAGGTGGGGGGGAGGTTGGGGGTGGGTGGTCGAGTCGGGTGCCTGTCTGCTGCTTCATTTGCGTAGGTGCTGGGTCAGTTGCACGAGGCCAATTCATTGGTGACGACTGCTACATGGATGTCCTACCTTCAAATTTGCAGCAGCAAGCCTGACGAGCCCTGTGGTTGGTGTTTTTGGTAGTTCCTCACCGTTTTTTGACCAGTTGCAAGTCACTTGAATTCACGGACTATAGGGAGAAGAATCGTCATGACACGAACCGTCTACTTTTGTCCCACCTGCTCGGCTTGGAATTTGGGATCATGATCCAACCCCACATTCCCTAACCCCCTCGCCCCCTTGCGCCCAAACAAAGCCCTTCATAGAATCTTGAACAGGGAATTGACGGGGAGGGAGGTCAGCGGAAGGGGGGGGATACATCAAAATCCGGTGCTACTAACTTGCGGTTGGTTGAGTCACCGAGTCCTGAAAGGAACAATCAAACTGAAGCAAAATGCATGCCATGGTGACCAAGATATGCTCAAAAGGTAGGGGAGAACTGGGCAGCCCCCATTCTCCCCCACAAACACGTGCAACTTGGCTTTCTTGCGCCTTTGGGAAGCAACTCCAACAGAAACGGCAATTTCCATGTGGCTTCTCTTTCCATGCGTAGTTGCCCAGCCTCGGTAGGGATTCACGTTTGGGTGAGTCCCGGATTCAGCAAACATGAACCGCGCATGGCCATCAAGCAAACCTAACTAATATTGGTTCGCTGATTTGCCAAAGACTGGCCCTTTTTCGCGGGGTCCTGTATTTCAGGGCCTGTATTTCCCCCCTTAAACATCACCCCCAACAGGAAACTCCATCCTACTGATGGACGAAATCCGTTCAGCACTTTGAAGCCATGGCTGAAACCAGAACGTTGGTTGAGATTTACATGGAAATCCTCCTTCCAAGGCTTCTTAGGTGCCGAAATGTGGATCTCGCAACCAGCCACATGGCTCCAAAAGCGGTCAACCGCGGCCGCGGAACCCAAGCAGCAGCGATGTCCATGACCTGAAGCGGGGCCGGGCAAGCGTTGGCCATGAGCCTTTGGGTGCGGACAACGGGGGCTCCTTACGGTGGACAAGACCCGCTTCGCACCAGAAGGATTTAGCTCTATTCAGCTTGGGTGGTTTGGATTGGTGGCTTGGTGAGGGGTTTCCCATTTGCCCTCCACAAGAAGAGGTTCAACATCCCGCAAACAAAATACCCATGCAAGCCACCGATTGTGAAGCTGATCGATCCCAGGATGAACAGGCTTCTCCATCCCGGGAGTGTGCAGATTTTTGCACTGGCTCCTTGGCTCTTCGACTTGGCCCCCATGCCTTCAGAAGCATTCTCGTTTGACCCGAAGTGCGGCATGGTTTGGACGTGTGCGACTTGACTTGGGCCGTGTCAGGCCATTTCTTGGGCGGGCAGAGGCAAAAGGGTGAAGAACTGGGCAGCGCTGAGGCCTGTGCAATGGTTGGCTTCCCTTGGAACTTGGTGTGTCGCCAGCGATGTTCTGGTGCGGCACGCCGTTGGCAGGTTGCAGGCAAGAGCGGCAAACACACGCAGAATCATAGAATAATTCTTAAGCGATGTCGCCTATTCGAGCGATTTCGTGGCAATCAGGTTTCCTGCCTTCCTCACTGTCTCACTGGACTGCCCTAAACCCAAAGTCCAACCCGTTTGAGCCCTGCTGGAACCCAACGTTCTCGACATTTTGGGAAACCTGCAGCAAGTAGCCAGAACAAGGAAAGTGAGCTTTCGCAGTCTGTTCCTCCTGAAAGGCGTCATCTGTTCAGTTCTACGGGCTTCAAAAAGCACCACGAACAGGCTCTCACCTTTGGGTGATCGATCTGTGGATCCTGCACCACTTGGAACCATGGTTGGTCTGTATTCGCAAATGCCGTACCGGTTCACCCAAAGGCCATGGCAAATTGAGCGAGCGAGTCCCCGGTTTTTGTTGTGGCGAGTCCCGACTGCCGCAATTTTGACACATACCCCAATGGCTGTGGCTCAAAGATTCCTAGCCAACATGGCACCTTGGGTCATATGGAAACAGAGCATCTCACCTGAGTAACCCTAGCTCTTTGAGCCATACCAAGATCTCAGAACTGCCTCTCGGAAGACATTTCGGACTGCACACCAGCTGTTTGATTTGGAGCTAGGTCCAGTAGAGAGGTTAGAATAAGGGTACCAACTTTTTTTGTAGTCTATTTTAGAAGGAGAACCCTCCCAACCAAAAAACGGCAAAAGGTAAAAAGGCACCTGGCTGGGGGACCTAGGAGCACCCAACTGGATCGAACGCCCCCCTTTTCAATCATCAACATTTCTCGAAGGGGCTCGGTGCTTCAGCCCTTCGTCCATCTCCCAAGGCTCAGCGGCACCTGTCCAGGGCAAAGGTGCTGGGTACAAATCCCTGTCTGCTTTTCTCCTTTGGGGGGGGGAGGATTTCTGGGAAAAAAATTGGGGGTCCATAAGATCAGGCCCAACCAGAAAAGCTTCAGGATCTTTTGTTCCAGGCAAACACTCCATGCCAAGCGCAACCATGAACTTCGAACCCTCAACCAGACGATCCCACGCAACGAACTTCTCCGACCCCGGAGAGGGGGCGCTTCCCAAAAAACGCCACTGACGTGAGTCCATTTACGTCGGAAGACCTGTGTTTGCCGTTCTATGGGCACGTTTATGACAGGCTTTCGGAAAAAAGAAGAAGTCCTCATTCATTATCCAAAGGGTGTCCAGGGGATTCAATTCCACTTTCAGTGGGGATTCAGTCCACTTTTGGAGGGAACACCGCCCGTATAGGACGGGCTTACTAATCCGGGGTCGACATACCTTTTTAGGGGGAAGGGATTGTGCAATATTGCAGGGAGTTTCACGGGCAGAAAGGCAACCTTGACAAAATCAGTGCTTCGTTCGAAGACGTGCATGCAGCATGGCCCTCCGAACGCCAAGATATTGGCACCCTCCAAGTTGCCATGGAATCCCATTGGATCCCGCTTGAGCCTGGACAATGTTCTCCGAGGGGTTTCCTGAAGGGTTCCATGCTCGGTTGCAAGGGTGCAGTTTAGTGTGTGAAGGGCCTCGATCGTTTGCAGCCAAAGCTCCAGCATCCTTGAACTTCAACACGAGCGTCGCGCCAAGCCCCCCACTTCTGTATGGACGCACTTCGGACTTATCGGTTGGGCCAGGCTTTTGCGAGTACCCCTACGGATCATCCCGGCTGAAGTGCGGCCTTTCGAGACTGGGTGTTGCTTCTGCCCTTCGGGAATCGAGGGCCATGCCACACTTTTCGGGACAGCACGGGGGATCCTGGTAGTGCGCTTGCGCATTTTGAGGCAAAAGCAGTCTTCTCATGGGGGGAAGGGAAAATAAAAAAGGGCTGGAGATGTGGGTAGCACTAAGCCGGAAGAATGAGTCAATGCAACCACTCCTCCCGGTCTGCGCTCCACGCCCGCCTGGCGTAAGCCTCAGGATATTTGCTTAGCCCAAAGCACGAAACCGAAAGTCGACCTTTGGGAGAAACTGAACACGGGAACTCACAAAGGAAGGTGTCATTTCAGGTTGACTCGCTTTTGCGATTAAGTAATGCAAACATCTCACGCGTTGGCTCCCAAGACCCGGCGAACTGATTCTGGAAATGCCAAAAGACAATCTTTACCTGGTTTGGTTATGCTGGGCAGCAATTCTCAGACTGCTGGAAAGGTGGTAAGTGGGACGCAAAGAGTTCACCTTCGGTATGTCAGCACAACGCTGCCTTTGAAGCCTGCGAATCACCTCGAACCAACTACAGAAATCACCTAACAACATAAGCCAAGGGAAGTCAAAAATCAATAGGCGCGCCACTCTGCAACATGCTCAGAAAAAGATAGGGACCCAAGGAAAGGCTCTGCGTGTTCCCGGCTCCAACCCCGCATTCCCTGCTTGCCCCAAATAATAAATACAGCCTTGTTTGGACTTAACCAGGAGGGTTTGGTATTCTGTTCTCTCCGGTACTCCCCCAAACCCTTCCCAAACACCCCCAGCGACTTATACCTATAAATCAGGTTGCTCTTTGCACGCCACGTTCCTCAGTCCACAAAACCGACATGGGGGAAGCATGCCATCTGCCTTCCTCCAATTCCCTCAGGCAACCTGTCCCGCCAAGATGCCATCTCGCTACATCATTCTGGCGCGACAAGCGTTGGGTCCGAAAGTTGGGAAAGTCTGTTGGTTAGGTTTATGGTGGATTTCGTTTTGGCCCCTTCCAGATCGTCCCAATTGGAATTTGGAAACCGACCACTGATGTAGCCCATGTGATGTTTGCGTTTGCCGGTGATGCCATATGCAGGAGATCTCTTTGAAGCATCCTTGCTATGCTCGTGCCAGCTCCTAGAGGGACAAGGGGTTCCGCGATTTCATGTTTCCAGCTTTCCCAAAACAAACGCTCGCAAACCATATTTCAATGATGCCCTGATCCTGCTATTGCATGTTCAAGGGGACATGGATCGTGCAAATCCACAGCTTTGGGTTCACTGAAGTGATATCCGAACCCACAAAAAAAAAAAAACGGCATCGAACAAGTCGACTGCGTCACGTTCTGGGCCTTAGCGAGAAGCGAGTCCCTTGGAGCCGAAAAGGCCGGCTTCTCGCGCTTCCTCAGATCGGGGCTGAGATTTGTTGGGGCAGAGTCGTGACCCGGTTGCAGCAAAGGACTTTTCGGGACTCACATGCCCAATTGTGGCAAGTAAAGGGTCCTCCACTTGGAGTCTTGATCGGAAACCTGCAGGTGTTCAAATCTGAGAGCCTGCCCACTGAGCTTCCGGCGTGCATCGCGCCTGGCCGAAGTGCTGATGGTTGGCTTCCGCACCTCTCAATTCTCCACTTGTTCTGTTGCTTTTGACAGATGTTGAATAAAAAAGCCAGGCACCAAACGGGGGCCGGGCCGCTATTTTGCTAGTTTCCGGGGTGATCAAAGTCGGAAACTGGGCTGGGTTCCCTTGAACCTGCCACTTGGGGGGTGACTTTGATAGTAGAATCATGGGGCCAGCCAAACCGAAAATGGTACCCCCCAAGCCCTTTCAAACTCATCGGCTTTCACTTGCCTGGAATCTGGACAGATGGTTGCCCTCCAACATCTCCAGCTTTTCGCAGTGGGCCAAAAAAGGAAGAGCAACCAAGAAGGGACAGGACGATTTCAAATTTCTCAGGGTTAGGATGCTTTGAGCTGTTGGACCGCACAAAGTCGCGCCTTTTGTACCTTAAACCCAGGGATTCCATTTCCCTGACGTAACCAAGCCAAGCTTGGATCGAACATGGGCAACTGCATGGCAATGCAGCCAGAGAAACAGGAACAACCTGGAACCAACGCTGATCACCCAGGCTGACGACTGGTTGGGCCCAGCTTCACCAACTGTCTGGCTGTACTCCACTAATCCCTTGAATGGAAGGATGGTAAATATTGACCGTGGTGATCACAAGTAGCAGTAAGGGAACCTTTCGCGGACTGGTCAACACTTCGCACCAGCCTGGCTCGCGCAGGGCGCATAACCTCCGGAGGTGAAACTCAAAGGAGACCAACTGATACAAGGCTCCCTCCTCTTCTTGGTAATGTTGACCCTGCATTAACAAACCCCTGTTTATTAATGTGGGGGTGTTCCTCTCCAAAAGTGATGAATCACCACTAAAACCGAGGACACCCCCATATTAACAAACAGGGTTTAATCTATCTGGGGTCAACATTAGGCAGCAGGAGAGCCGGTGGAGCTCGACAAAGGGAAGATGGCGTTGTGCGAATCAAACTTTGTGCTTTGATTCGTTGGCTCGGGCCCTAAGGACGGCTCCTAAAAAACCCAGCAAACCCCGCAAAGCCAGCAGGCCTGGAGAGATTACGGTTCCATGCAAAAGGAGGGCCACGAGGGCATTTTTGGGGAACCTGCGCCGCGGCCGCGCTGATGGGAACGAAAGCATGGTTGATTCCCCTAATCTGAGAAAAGAAGAGGTTGGAGTTTGGAGCTACAGCGTGCCGTGTGGGGGAGTTGACGCAGTTCCATTTGCTTCGTCGCCCCCAAGATCACATGGGGGAGTGGGGGAGTTAAAGGGGTTCCACCCCGAACAAATCCAGTGAACTAAATAGCGAAGGCTGTCATGGCCAGCGACCAAGCAGAAGCGGGCCCCGTTCAACTGGGTTCGTTGAACATGAGGCGACCCCATGTTGCTAGTCCGTCATACGTGGGACGCAGCTACCATGTGGAACCAGCTCCAGGCACACGCACGAATTACGGACCAATTCTTACAGGCAGGCCAAACCTGATGAAACCACCAGTTGTGTGAGTGAGCTTCTGGGGTTCCCAAAGCAACCACCAGTGAATAGGGGGCTCCTTTTCGTAAGTTTAGACGAGCCACTGCTTCAACCGGCTTTAGGTTCTCTCAGGGTGCCTTCTCCACAAATCTTGGCCAACCCCACCCCAAAATCTCGCCTGATGTGCTCCAGCTGCAGCGCTGGCTATCCCAGCACCCAGGAGGAAGATCCCAGCTGGTGGCTGGATCTACCTGGGGCTCGCACTCAACATCCGAAGAGCTCACGATACAGCGGATTGGCCAAAAAGAGTCATTAAGCTGTTTGTTGATTTTCAAAAACGCAGTAGAGACACTCCCTCATGCGCATGAGCAATAGCATTCAAAAGCTCACTTCCTGAGTGGACTGGCTCAACAAAGTAACCACACTTGTTTCATTTACCACCCAAATGCTCTAAACCTCAAAAGTGCCTGACTTCCGAAACGCTTTTCGCAGGAAGTGAGCTGCCATTCCTCCGGCTCCAGTGGGCCGGAGGGAGACCAGGGAAAGGGATGGGAAAGGGAGCCGATGTCCATGAGACACCTTCAGGGAATAGAAACCCGGCAAGACTGGAGGAATGCAAACGAAGCACCCGGCAAAAGCCACAGCTTTTGCCACCTTCCGGTAGAAGTATTGCAGCCGGTTTCTTAGACCCCCACAACCCCCCAAAAGAAAAAGACGCCGCACAGGTTTGATTCTGTTCACTCCGACAAACGTGGATGGAGCCAAAGCTGGTTCCTTGGAATCCGGACCTCCCGCTTGCCACAAGGTTGGCGGAGATCTTTCATTCTCCAGATTCTACAATGCCATGAAGACAGCCCCAGCTTTGCCAGGGCTTTGCCGACTTAGACACAGCAGGGACCAAAGAAACATGGCAATTGGGTCGTCTGACCTTCACATGTAACGAACAAGCCCAGGTGGTTTCGGGACCCAACAGCCCTGCTGCCGCACCACAGAGTCTAATCCTTTGATTCATAGCGCTCCCATCTGGCATGGACCATTGGTCCAAGGGAGACCGAAAAAATAATGAAAAAGAAAAAGGGAAAGGGGAAGCCATTTTGTCTTGGGGGGCGGGGGAAGGAATGTTTCCAGCACTGGCAAGAGTGGTGCTTGGTTTAGGCTTGGCCAGGGGTCGATGTGGATTCAATGGACTGAACCATGCCCTTGTGGTTTCAAGCAGTTTTTTGTTTGTTTTGCAAACGAGTAGGCGTGATGACCAGCAGCTTAAAACAGGGTGCAAAAGAGAAGCCATATTGTTTGATTCCAAGCGCAGCCAAGCCCAGCCAAGCCTTCCAAGCCAACGCCAAGACGACACCAACGTCTCGCGCCTCACTTCCCACAAAGAGAACCCAAGACAAAGGGTTGTAAGAATCCTTAAGCCACACCCAACCATAACCAACAAATGGTAGCAACAACTTCTCGGCACATGTTTCAGGGTTTCCTGGCTCCCAGACACCCGCAGGTATGGTCCGGGGCAGCGACGCGGTGCCACGGCTGCATGGACTCCGGTGTGGCCTGGCATTCCCTCAGTTGATCCTTTAGAGACCTGGGAATCCATGGGGCCGCACCAAGGAAAATGGACCAGATCCGGGAAAAATGGGCCACACCTCAAGGAAACATGGACACCAATGGTTGACCTTCTACCTTTGCAAAAAATGGGGACCCACACCAGGGAAACGATTCGCTTTGGGCAAGTAAGCTCCATCCGGGTGGGGAAAACCGGAAAAATGACCTATGCATTGTTTCCCTTGTAGGAAAAGAGGTTTCCATTGTTTCCCTTTGTTGGGCTTGACCGTTTGTAGCGGGGAACCCGCCAAGGGGACAAAGGGACAGGGAGCCACAAAGGGGCCACTTTCCAAGCAAGGTTGGGAGGTGAGGAGGGTGTTGTAAATCTCAAGATCGATCCCTGTACAGCTACACCTGCACCCGCCCGGGCCCAGCAAGCCACTTGAGGCAAATGGCATGCAGGCCCCTTCAGGACTTCTCAAAAAGGCGGGGCATGGTGTTCAACCTGGGCTGGAGGCCTGCTCTTGGAGAAGCGCCTATTGCGGCTGCAAAGCACTACCGGAATCTCCCAGCAACATTGGGCATCTTGGGTGTTTTTCTGGCAAGCCAAACCAGTGTGTTTCAGCGCTCTAACCTAATTACTGACATCCCCTCAGCCAAGCAGCCCCTTGTTTGACAGCCCCTCAGAAACGGTGGGTCAGTCTAGTCGCGTTCAAGCTAGAAATTTGGTTTAGCATTTTTAGCGCCCACGAAACTACAATAACCAGGCCCCCTACAAACCACCCCCCAACAAAAAGACATCCCCGCCCCCAGAACTAGTTCGGGGCCAACAAGCCTTTCTAAAGCCCTACAAGGCGAACGGCGCCACACCCCTGCAGGCGTTGCTGAAAATAAGGAAGCACCGACTGAAACGCCGTCCGAGCCCTGCCCTGCCTCCTGGTTGGTGAAATGGGGAACGTGCACCTTGGCCCGAAGAAACAAAACGTAGATGTCGTATGGCTGTGACGGACGATTGAACGCGTATACCATGAGCTTTGCCAAGGTCAAGAAAAATGCGACATGCGCCTCGCGTCTTTCTTTCCTCCGTCCCGAAGAAACTGGGCACCAACCGTGTCTGCCAGGTGGCTCGCTTTCCCAGTGAACATGACCTTGGCAACACAGCGTGGGCGGCAGGCACAGGAAGAAGTCGTGCGATCTGGAAAGCACGGCTAACTTACAAACCAAACACCAGGAAGTACAGGTAGGCGCGACACAGTATTGCCGGCCCGAGCCGAAAAAGTCTCAGCATCCAAAAACAATGTAAAACACATGGTGTTGCTGAACTGCATTGCCTCTATTTTGTTTGCGTGGCTTGGGCAAGTTTCCTACAAGGTCTCGAGACGATTGAAGATTGATTGCGTTGTTGTCAGAAGCAAGTGCAAACTTGTGTCGGAAGGGGACGGGAAGCCGGTTCTGCCTGGTCCAGGAGACAATGCTGAAAGGACCTACAGGTACCACCCTCCAGCCGATTGCAAAGGGGACCACCTTTTGAATATACATGACTTCCCACCAAACTCGCATGGAGGCAGGAACTCTTTCCCTTTAAGGAAAGTAGTTTTCAAAAGCGGCCTTGCACTTCTATGCTTGGAATGTAACCTTGGCTGACAGAACTAGTGCTAAAACTTGCCAACAATGCTTCAAGCTGGTTGTAACCTTGGGGTATGCCACCATTGTTTAAAGAACCTCGTTGTGTTTTCCCTTTCAAGGGAGCCCAGGGCTTGGTTGTTTAAACACGTTTGCCGTGTTTGCCGTTCTGAGCGCGCTCATGCCCATGCCGATGTCAAGCTGCTGGCGCCGGCAGTGCTCGGTGACCTGGGATTCAGTATTCATTCGGCTGCGCTGAGTGGGTCTGAGATTCGTCGGTCCCGGGCCTTGTGGACATGAAAACTTGGGGTATTCATGTCCGGTCACTTTGCTGATTGCCCGTGACATGGAGCTGGACGCATTGGATCCGGCTTGGTTCCGGCTTGGTTGGGCGCGTCGATGGTGATCGAGGGGATCCAGCCGTTTTCGCGGCTGCAAATGTCCAGTGGTGCCAGCGTGACAATTGATATGGAACATTGTCCCTGTATTGTTCCCGGTCGAGAGATCGAAAAATACCTTCCCGGCTTTGGTCCAACAACTGGCGCGGCGTGACTGCTTGGGTGGAGCGGGAAGGCACAGTTGCAGTGGGAGATGTCTGCCAACTGCATATTCCGGATCAACCCGTTTGGACCTATCTGTCCGTTGGTGTGTCCGACTCTCGACTCACCTGGGCCTGGACAAAAAAGGGTAAACATTGGCAAAGGTGAAAAGGTCGAACGTGAGGTAACATTCCTGGCCGGGTTGGGCCTCGGGGGTCATAGGATGGCTTTCAATGATTGTTTGACCCCGCCAAGAGTTTGGATAGTTACAAATGGGTGCGTCTTGGTGTTCAGGGGACCCCCAAAAAAAACTCGTGGTTGTTCTGTTCGTTTTCCTTCAAAACCACCAAAAAAAGGGGGGTACTAGTAGCAACTCAAAACGTGCCGTCTGACAATGGCCGGACCCGACAAGTAGAGCCCGTGGATCGTCTGGAACATTGAAAATCTCACGCGGGTTCTCAGCAGACTTGTGCGAGCGTGTGTGTGGTGGGTATGTGGGTAGGAGCCAAACTTACCCAGGAAATAGCCAGTCCTTAGCAATTCATAGGAAATAAGATGCTAATCAGGCCTTTCGAAGGTGACTTGCGGGTTTTGGCAGGGTTATGGATCCACTGGACGGGGGAGCCTGGAGTCTTCCTGCGTTTGCAGGCTTGCAGCATACAAATCAAGAACTCCCGCAATGCTTACGCGGCCCCAAAAATCTGCGCAAGGCCACGATGCTGAGTCTTGCTTACGTGGATGCCCTTACTGGCACCTGGGTTTTGCTCGCTGCTCAATTGTGCGTTGGTGTTTCGTCCATTGATCAGCCGAGGGGACCGATTTGCCGCAGGCTGATTCGGTCACAAATAGACTTAGACACCGTGCCGGCGACTAGATATAGCAAAAGGTCCTTTGGGGACTCGTGCAAACCCGCATAGGCAGGTTTGCAGGAGTATGAGAAGAAAGGAACAACCTCAAAGCCATGCAATTGCGCCTGCCGCAGGCAGTGCTACGAAAGGCTGCCCGCAAAGGATGATGACAACATTGTCACTTCCGGGTTTTCCTTGGTACACAAAGTGGCGCTATCCTATTTCTCAGGGGGGTCCTTTTTATGACCCTAGACAGTCGTTGCCCACACCAACACCCCTCCCAAGTTTTTCCCGCAATCCGCAGGCTTCCCTACTTGCCCAAAAGGACGGTAAAAAAAGGTTTACCTTCCTGGGCCATGACTAAAGTGGTTCATCAACTTGGAAAAAGGGTCAGATCAGCTCAATTCGCTTTGTTTCCCACTGCGCTCTACTCGACTCAGTGAAACAAAAAAAAAAACGGAAGAAGCAACAACGACGCCGCGCCCTCCGCCCGCGCGGTGAAAAGACCGCGGTCTCCGCGCGAGCGGCTCGGCACACCGAGCGCCGGCCCCAGCTGTCCAGCAACCGCTGCGGCTGCTCCACCCTGGAGACGGCATCGGCGCGCTTTCGCGCGCGCGCGCGCGGCGACGGAAGGTACAGGGGTGTTGATTTTGTGTGTTTGTTTGTTGGGGGGAGGTGGGGGTGGGGTGGGGGGAGGCCCTTGTGGGTATTCTCTTCTTTTCTTTCTTCTTAAATCAACACTTTCTGAGCTATATTGTGCAACTGGAGATCATTGCATGGTTCCTGGGATTGCCCTACATCTCTATCCATGCAAAGGGCAACAGAAAACCTTACTCATGGTACTTTTTGCCGGAAGGGGGTCTTTTCACCCAAACTAGGGCTTGGGTATGGCAAGCAAGCAATCCTTTGACTGAACAGCTACCTCCGCTTTTTCCAGTAAACCGGACAACAACAAAAGTAATGGGGCACTTTCTAAATGCCGGCGGAGATGTCTTAGACCAGCTACTGTCAGACGGGTCAAGTCCTACATGCCCGGATACCCTGCAACACGGAACCCTTGTTGGAGCCGGGACCCATTCTCAGTCGGGTCCCGATCCGGCCGAAAGCTTTTGGACTAGCTCACCCTTTGCGCAGATGCGCGGCACCCGCCTCGAGAGAGGAATCTCCCCTTGGGTGATTCTTTTTGGGCTCCGTGCTCCTACCCCAAAATGGTACCAGTGGTTTTGACCCACAGCCATATGGGAGGTTTGACGCAGTTCCAAGCCTGCCAGACGTGCTACCTTCGACTGGTGGCTTCCCTAAGAATCCGCTTTCGGACCTGGTTGCTATGATTTTCAGCGGGCCCCTTAGGAGTTTATGTCCTCCAAGGTAAACAAAGCGCCCCAAGAAACCTGCACCTAAACAGGAAGGACACCTGGCAAAGTTTGCCATCCTCAAAGTCTTCCCCCAACCTCTCGCCTTTTGGCTCCACGAAATCAAAACAGAGGATACGGCTTCCTGATTGGTGCTTCCGGAATAGGCGACGGCTCTTGGTCTTGCTTCAATAAAGCTTCTCAAAAGGAACTCCAAAGTGTGGTTGCCCCCGAATTTCCATGTGCCATGTCCACAAACCAGGGAGCCACCTGGAGGCTGGGTGTTGGACCTCCAAATTCCTCAAAGCGAATGACTTATCTGACCCTGAGGCCCCATGAAAGCTCCTTGCAGCAAGGAATGGATATGAAAAAGAGGGTGGAACAGTTTACGGGGAGTTATTGGGCCTCCTAGAGCCTTTGCCACATTTCCAGGGGGACCTACCAGGGGTTCCGGTGTTCTTGGCCATCCAGTCCTGCCTGTTGCGCTCAAGCCGCAGCCAGAGTGGTAACTCCTCCGGATCAGACATGCCACCCGCATTGGTGGATGAGGCAAGGAATTGACGGGTGCCGTGTTTGAATTTGCTCGTGATCTGTGGGTCATCCACTATGTCAGTAGGCTAGCTAGGATAGAAGCAAACTCACATTGCCCTCCTACCTGGTTTCTCTTAACTTCTCAAGGAAAACATACAAAATACAAATGGGATGGCAGGACAAAGTGGGCCTGAGGAGCTGAAACCATACAGAAAAAAACAACAATGGGGCAGTTTGGCCGTGTCTGATGTAGGACAGTCTAGAAAGGCCCTGCCAACACGTGTGGCACTGGTAGGGGTGAATAAAGGCACCTGCGTTTGCTTCCAGAAAGTAACGTAGCGCTTGTTGATATGGAGTCTCCTGTCGCAATTCATCTAGCCACACAACAGTGCAAAGTGCAAACTACAGTACATTCGGGTATGTCTCAAAATTGGGTCCCCTCCCCCCCCCTTCCCCCCCCCCCCCCGGCGAAATGAACGTTGTCCTTTTGTCTCCCTTCAATTCAACCCGGAAAAACGGGCACACCAAGAAAAGCACACGCCCATTTTGGCGCGTGAGTCGTTCTGCCAGCTTCTCCTGGAGCTTTTCTGCCGAGAGAGCGGCGTCCACGATGGCCTCTGTGCGGATCACGGTGGAAGTGGAGGCCACCCCGGTTCTCGACATCTTTTTTTAGGGAAACCGAAACAGTTTCACACCTTTGTTGCTGTTGACCGGATTTGTGGTAGCCACCAAGTCTTTGTGCAGCCTCGCAAACAAAATCCACACCCCTATACTTTGTTGCTGTTGACCTCTGCAAAAAGTGAACAACGTTTTGTGGGTTTAGTGGAAAACCCATCTTGATTTCAACCAAAAAGTTAAAGTCTAAAGATCCAACACAATAGCAGTCAAGACAAGGGGCCCCCTTCCGCCCACCTACACAGCAGTAGGAGGTACCTGGAGGATAAACTTCCTGAAGGTCTGTCAGCCATGGTGGCCGGGCAAATTACTTGAGAGCCCAAATGCCTTCATTGAACAGCCGCCCCATGCTGTTTCAGGGACATGGGTCTGCCCATGTTTTTGAGGGTACCTTTTGAGGGATTGAAGGGATTCCAACAGAGACCAACACCCAGATTTCGGGTTTGACACATACTCGAATATGTTTCAAGCCCGGACATTTCTCCCGGGCATTTTCAGGCCTGGGTCCCGATGGAGGTGAAGGAGTTGTGTGACAGGTGCCTGAGCAGTGACCCCTTGACCACGGCCCCGGGCCCCGCCCTCCGTTGCGACCCGCAAGGTTTGTCTCACATAACTAGACCATAGAACCAACAAACTAGGGTTGACATGGATGCTTTGGTGGACAAGGGCAAGTTTGGGTTGGTTGAGTCCCCTTTCGTGAACCCATCAACACATTTTCGTGAAGTGAGGGTTTCACCCAGCAATTGGATATAGACTCAATCACAGCGGGAGTCAAGGAAAGAGTAGGAACCCACGAGGGGAATCCTGAAGTTTTCTTCAGGGGACACAAAGACAAATGGTGGATGTGCCCTGTTTTATGGGACCCCCAAAAAACATGATGGGTTTTCCTATTGCACCAGGGACGCGAACTGAGGGATCCCAAAAGGCCCTTAGGTTCGGTAAAAAACTGGGCCCAAAGTCAGACATTTGTGATGGGTTCCAACCAACCTAGAAATTCTGAAGGTCGCAAAAGACAAACGGCTTGTCTGCACATGGCTCACGTAGGACTAGCCAAATGAAGTCAAAACAGCCACATCCTCGACAAGTCCCGACAGCACAATTGGCGCTGTCAATTTCCAGACTCCTTCGTTAACGCCACTCCTCCCATGTAAAGTAACATTGCTGGCGATGGTCCTTTGAATGGTTTGCGTTGCTTGCTGATCCTCGAATCCTTCCCAGCCCACAACTAGGCCCTGGCTCCAGAGAATTCAAGCCGCCAAACGCAGCGCACAAATGTGGGTGTCGAGTCTGGCGCATTTGATACAAAGCCCTTCAGTTGATCCGCGTATTCATGGTTTGCTCCAAAACGATGGCGAACCACTCTTGGAGTTCTAAGGCTGCGGTGTTCTCAGACTATCTGCCTACCTGGACGCAGTTGGTCCTTGCTTCTCTGCTTGCCAGCAAATTTGGTCCGCTTCTCTTGAAAACAAACGTAAACGGGGAACCACCAAGCATGGCCAGCATGCCCTCGTTTGGTTGGTTCATGTTGAGGGAGAACAAAGGGTTTGTCATGTTTGGGTGGTTGATTTCAAAGGGGGTGCGCCCAAACTCTGCAAACAAAAAGATGCAACATACTCGCTTCCATTTGCGTTTTCGCCCTGGGAAAAAGAAACCAAAACAAAAACAAAACAACCTTTCCAGCCGTGAAATCGCTTCCCTAAAAAAAACATACAGAGAACATACAAACTATTCATTTTAGCACATGGGCGCCCTCCAATCTGACCCCCCGCCGTTTCGATTCAATTCCGAGAGACATTTCGGAGAGCTGCGGGCAGCTGTGGCCTCGAGTCCCGAAAAAAACTGAAGGGCTTGGGATGTCCACATGGCCGTGGGTCAAAACAAAATCGTACCCCAGTGAACATCCCAATCTAACTACTAAAATAGGTTCTAAAACGTTAAAATGGGTGGTGCACCTACCCCAAAATGGTACCAAAACGGTTTTGACTCACAGCCACATGGCCGTGTTGCCTTTGGGCTTTCTTTATAAAGCCACAACAAAGGGGTGCGGATGGACGAAGAACGTGGTCTTCCTATAAACCCCCTCAACATGGCAGAGTCCTTTTGGGGTTTTCCTTAAAACCACGAGAACAAAAGTATGATCAAAATACTGTGGATGGTTGCGAAATCCAGAAATCACACCACTTGGAAACCACGGTTGAAACCATAGTGTTGGTTGGTATTTACGTTGAGGAATCAAATGGATTTCGTCCACCCACAGAAAAGAATCTTCCGAGCCAAGAGAATGGACACGAGTAGTCTGTCAGTCCGTTTAGCCTAGCGGCTGGCCGTGTCTTAGTCATGCGCATTTCGTCGTCTGGAGCTCGGGTATCACAACAGCCCTTGGCAGAAAGCTCATGAAACAAAGAGTCCAACCAAGTTCTTAAAGGGACCTGGACCTGATCACGGCGAACGATCCACACAGCGCCAAATTCGCACTCGAACCTACCAGGTACTTTTATACTCACTTCCTGAGCAGATTGGTGCGAACAAGTACTCAAGTGATCTTCCCACAAAGTGATCAAAGTCCGAAACCAGTACGCTGCTTTTTTGGGGGCCAGTATTGAACCACTGGGAGAAGACAAGGGGCACCCTCGTTTTTGATTTTAGATTCACGCCTCCAAAAAAAATAGGACAGGAGGACCAAGGAAAGCAACCCGCCAAGAGGTCTGGGCCAACTACGGGGTCATGGCGCGCAGACATCTTTCTCAGTATGGCTGTGGCTCAAAAAAATGTACAAAAATGGCACCTTATTGATTTGTGAGGCCCCAGGAACTCTGAGGTGCCACTCCAAAACAACACCGTCGAAGTCATGGGCAACCACACGTGCTGGAACCCAAAACCCTCCGCGCCACAAAGCAAAAGATCTGCCCAGCAGCACAAGGCCGCCAGCGCTGGCGCGGCTGCATCGGTCAGGGCGTTCCTGTAGAGTTTCACCTAAGGCTGTGGCACTTACCCTGTCCACCATGGACAACCTGACGCTTCGGAGTGCTGGTTACCCATTTCCTTTAAAGACCCCAGGCTTGGGGCCAGCCAAGCAGGTTGAGGATTCAAGTAAGCCAATAGTGTACAAAGAACCTCCGTTTCAAAGAGCCTCTTTTTGGTTTCCCGGAACTTCTGCTCAGCCCTGGCTGTGGACACCAAATTTGGCTGCTCCGTTCGAGGGTCAGGACCAACGTTGGCAAACTGGATAATGCTGGCAAAAGCATGCTGCCCAACGTAGAACAGAACGACCAAGTCCCACTCTAAACTATACTCCTGATCGTGATGCTAACCTTATTCGGGTGCTTCTCCTTTAGCAGGGGCGCCTTGTTTTCCCTGTGGGACGCCGTTGCACTCTTTTAGGAAGATACACCGGCCGGCCACAAGAGGTTTGGGGCTGGACAAGGGTTGGCCATAAACATCACTATTGGGAGCATACCACCAGCGGCACCTTTGGGCATCCGGGTTGACTCACAGAACCCTGGACCATGGAAACACAGCAGACCGAGTGGATCGGAACCAAAGACATGTCTGAACTCTTACCTTCCCATGATCCAAACCCAAAGGTTAAAAGGTCAGGGACTCGCATTTCGGACATGGCTGGGCGCTGATTGGACCATTCTCCCATGGCCAAGGGCCCAAACTCAAAGCGGGCCCAACTAAAAGCAAAGCAACCCATGTTTGGGTGTGTCTCGGTTTGTTGTTTTTTTGTTTGTTTTTCCCCCCTCTTTTTGTTTTTCACGGGTATCGCTTTCTCGCGGTTTTAAAGGGAGACCACCAGGATAGCTACCATTTGAGGGGTCCCCGAACAACGCCAAAACCATTTCCTGACAAGGCGCGACAAGCAATGACCTCGAGGCATGCCAAGTGCGGTAGTCAGATGCGGTGTTGACAGATCAAGGGAATTGTCAGCTACTTTCGTCCCCGGGAAAAAATCCATGTTTCTAGTAGTGAAATCGATTTCCTTTGAAACCAACAGGGGGAAATAACACATTTCATTTCTGCAAGTGGAAGTAGACAAGACTGGCAATAACCAACCATGTCTTTTTCTGGGCTCTTTAAAATGGGGGACATCCCCAATCCTCCGCAATCCGTAGTGAGGATGAAGGATCGAGCTACCTAGCTTGGCCCTTAACGCTTTCGCCAAGCAGAGAACACCTCTGGGGCCTAGTTGCAATTGGCTTGAAGGGTAGAACAAATATGTGAAGCCCTTAAGGCTGGGCCGATTTTAGTGGGGACACCGGCAAATGGACAAGGGTGCCACTGAACTGGGGAGTGTTCCCTGCGAGAGAAAAACTTCTCCAAACATTCTCCCACCTCCCCGGCCCCTTTGGCGCAATGCACATGACCAGTTCTTTTACGCCAAAAAGTTGGTCACTGAGCACTGCCATACACATGTCGTGAGTCACAATCAAACCCCGGTATTAAAATGGTCTACCCAGAACCATGTAAGGAATTAAGAAGGCGGCCGCAACTATTTCTGGCTGGGACCCTTACTAAGCTTCATCTACCAGGTTTTGATTGTGGCTCTCATGTTGTGAGTGAAGTCTTGCCAACCCATTGCCAGATCCTATCCTTGCTGGCCGAACGGCCGCATAACTCAGGCGCAAGTGGGCGCCCACAACCTGATTTTGGGAACCCGCAAAATGCAACCAATTCAAGTGACCCAAACCAAGCCCGCACTCTCTCTCTCTCTCTCTCGCTCTCTCTCTCTCTTTCTCTGTCTCTCTCTCTGTCTCTCCCTCTCTCTCTCTCTCTCTGTCTCTCTCTCTCTCCGTCTCTCTCTCTCTCTCTGTCTCTCTCTCTCTCTCTCTGTCTCTCTCTCTCTCCGTCTCTCTCTCTCTGTGTCTCTCTCTCTCTCTCTTTGTCTCTCTCTTCGTCTCTCTCTCTTTGTCTCTCTATGTCTGTCTCTTTGTCTTCCTCTTTGTCTCTCTGTTTGTCTCTGGCTCTCTCTCTCTCTCTGTCTGTCTCTCTGTGTCTCTCTCTGGCTCTCTCTCTCTGTCTCTCTCTATGTCTCTCTCTCTCCCTCTCTCTGTCTCTCTCTCTCTCTCTCCGTCTCTCTCTCTCTCTCTGTGTCTCTCTCTCTCTCTTTGTCTCTCTCTTCGTCTCTCTCTCTTTGTCTCTCTATGTCTCTCTCTTTGTCTTCCTCTTTGTCTCTCTCTTTGTCTCTGGCTCTCTCTCTCTCTCTCTGTCTCTCTCTATGTCTCTCTCTCTCTCTCTCTGTCTCTCTCTCTGTCTCTCTCTCTCTCTGTCTCTCTCTCTGTCTCTCTCTGTGTCTCTCTCTGGCTCTCTCTCTCTCTCTCTGTCTCTCTCTGTCTCTCTCTCTCTCTCTGTCTCTCTCTCTGTCTCTCTCTCTCTCTCTCTGTCTCTCTCTCTCCGTCTCTCTCTCTCTCTCTCTCTCTGTCTCTCTCTCTCTCTCTGTCTCTCTCTCTCTCTCTCTGTGTCTCTCTCTATGTCTCCCTCTCTGTCTCTCTCTCTTTCTGTGTCTCTCTCTGTCTCTCTCTCTCTCTCTCTCTCTCTCTGTCTCTCTCTCTCTCTCTCTCTCTCTCTGTCTCTCTCTATCTCTCTCTCTCTCTCTGTCTCTCTCTCTCTCTGTCTCTCTCTGTCTCTCTCTGTCTCTCTCTCCTGTTGCAGCCCTGCAACTTGAAGGAACACATCTTCAGGAGACAGTCCAGTCCACTTTCCGTCAGCTTGTTCCTGACATGAAAAAAAGGCCGGGAGAAATCACATATTTGACATACCCAGGCCTTTGCAATTCCTTTGAAGCGATTAGCAACATGGGCACAATGTTTGAAGCTCCGCAAGAAAACAAGAAGGCTTCCCCCAAAGCATCTTGAACCCCAACGAAATCTGTGAAAACCAGCAAATCGCCAGATCATTTAGGCCAGCAAACTACTAAACAACAAATACCAGAAACTCACTTCCCGAGAGGCTCCGAAAAAAGTGAGAACTTCTTATTTACTACCAACATCTTCCCAAAAAGTGACCCAAGTCCAGGAACTCGGGAGGCACGCAAGTGGGGTGAACAGCTTGAAACACGTGGGGTGCCCAAGGCAACTTGCTTAAGCCCAGCCAAAACAGCAAATGGGCCGTGTTTGCATGATGCCACTTTTGGGGTTGCCTGTTTTGCCTCTGTGTTTCATGTCTGGAAACATCCAACTTTCACATCGGATGTGACCCGAGTCATAATCTCACTTGCTAAGTTGGGCCTTTTGTTTACCACCAAGATGGTCTTCCCAAGAAGTACAAAGTGCACGCAGGGAGTGAGTAATTTTATTCATTCAATGAATAACTCCGAAGCTTGCCAGCCACGAAAAGCATGGCAGTCCTAACTGGGAAGCCAAAATGACGAAAGGTCGCCATAGATCATTGGGCAAGGGAGTCGCGTCCGACATCGGGCCCTGCCTGTGCAAGTGGTAAGTTCTTGGTAACCGCTCGACCCTCGTACAACTGCCCCCGTTCAGTGGAGGCAGCCATGTTGGGGGATTATACCTATCACCCGGGGAGGACTCGGACAGTTCGGCCTGGGATGCAGATAACTCCCAGGGGCGGTTTCAGGACCTGAGTCCGCATGGTCGGGAGCCTCCAATCCCCCATACCTCTGGGGAAAAAAGAGGTAACATAACTTTCAAGGGCGACCTTTTTCCCGCGAAACCGAAAAAGGGGCACTGGAGGTCTGAATGTTGACCCCATATTAATCCACCCCAGTTTATTAATAAGGGGGTGTTCCCCTCCAACAGTGATGATTCCCCACTAGACCTAGGGACAGCCCCCTTTTTTGGTACACTGGGGTTGAGAGAAAAATGGGGTCCACATTGACCCCGTGACAAGCAAGCGCACCTGCGACGACAGCCCAGCCTGGAGAAGTCCAGAGATGTCACGCCTTCCCTCAGCTTGCCCTCAGCCTCGGTACCCCCTGGATCCAAAGCTCCAGCCGATGGGCGTGGACGCTTTTAGCTGCGACGGGAAAAGGACCAGCTGAACCGTTGCTCTGACATGGTCGAAGGAAAAACCAAAAAACAACCTGTGATGCGAATTTATCTTTTAAGGTGGGAAGGGGGTCGTTTGCTCTTGTTTTGTGCTAAGCGGAAGGGCTCTCCTTTGAGGCCTGGGTTTACTCCCCCAATTTCTCTGGAAACCTTGGGGGGTTCCATGCTAGTCTGGAGTGTTTCTCATTTCAAGTTGAGGGCATGTGTCTCCCATGTGCAAAATCATCGATGTGTTGCGGGTTTTTAGGGCCTGCTTCGGTGTTCAAGCAACTTCCCAGTAGGTCATATCCACAGTTATAAGGGGGCTAACCAAGTTACGAGCTATATCCGTGGCTAGAAGCTGCTTGCCAAACTTGGTCCAACATCCAAGCCCTGACTTGCCCCCCTGGCCGGCCGAGTGTGGTGCCACATGCACGGCGAGCAGTGTGGGCAGATCCTCCTCCCGCACGCCGTGCTGCTCCTCAGCTTTCGGTCGTGACCGCGAATTTCACCCGCACGTTATTTGGATCACAGCAAATCCACCGGATTTGACCTTTGGTTTTCCTATTGCGGTCTACCGTTGTAGTCATGGCCACGGGTGGACATTTGGCTGTGGCTCAAAAAACCGGTACCAAATTGGAACCCTGGTAAGTGGAAACATGGACTAAGACCTGCGTAACCCCCCCTGTTTTATTTTGAGCCACACCCAAATGTCTGGTCCCAAGGGGGGCAAGTGAGAGGGGTTTCATCCTTTGCCTCGACCTGACAGCTTTCTCCAGGTCAAGAAGCCCCGCGAACCGGGGCTTGGTGCTCCGAAAGTGGCAAGGGCCGTTTGGATGATCCGGGGGATTGCTAGGTCCTCCGGTAGAGGTCAGAATGAGTTGGTACCAACTTTTTTTTTTAGTAGGGGATCCCTGCCCCAAAAAAGTTGGTAAAAGGGCACCACTGGGGGACCTAGGTTGTATAGGCTTTGCAAGACATGGTTTAGCAGACTAAAGCTTGGCCCTAAACTAAGGGGAACCACGCCTTGCGCAAGCAATGTGGAAAAGCATTGAACAAAAAAAGCGTCGGGGTTGGGCCAAGCTTCCACATGTTGGAACACCTGTGCTCTTGATTGCTATTGGGTAACGGATGTTTAGATTGTAACTTGTTGGTTCCTTTAAACCAACAACAGATATAACATGTTTTTGCAGAGGGGTCAACAGCAGCCAAGTGTTTAGAACTCAATACATCATCTTTGCCATTGTCTACAAAAGAGGCCTGCCCAATGCTGCCTCCCAGTTTCTATCACATGTCAGGGAGCCAATCGATGTTTGAACAGGGAGGCAACCCCGACGCCCGACGCCTGCCAGTTTGTCAGAGGGTCCCGTGGTAAATAAATAGGTTAGACTTTGTTTGGACAATCCACTCAGGAAGCTTGCTTAGTAACCATTTTCTGAGAGGGAGGCTGATCCAATGGCAGGAAAAAAGGGGCGCCTGGTTGGTAGTCATAGTTGGCTTGAATCGCCTTACCCTTCATTGGTTTACCTTGGTCTCCAAACGACGGCTCCAACCCCTAAACCACCAATCCACCAATTAACGTTCGCCTGATTGAAAGGGGACCCCGCGGCCAACAACAAGTGGTGCACGGGTCGGGGCCCTAATCCGTGAAATCCGAGGCACATAGGTGCGCTTTCTCTTGGGCACAACCTGCTTCGGCATGAGAGGCCGGCTCTCCTCGCCCAGACTTCGCGGACGGAGAGGGAAGCCCACGTCTTTCAATCACCCCTTACAGGCTATGGGGAGCGGGCGGGGCCTCTTATTGATCTTAACAAGGCCTTATTAAGGGCTTACTTGTCCTGGTTGATTCATCCGGGGTCAACGTTGCAAGACTGCGCCCGGGCGAAAAGCGTATTGACCGCGCTTCAGAAACAAGCGCACAATCACTGTCTAATGCTCAAGGATGCAAGAGGCTAACCTGGCCTTGGCTTGGGGCCGCTTCTTGGGACCAGCCATAGAGGACACGCTGAACACTCCCAGGTTGATTGGCACTGAACCCGATCTTTTGACCTAAGTGCCAATGAAGCGCACTGGCTTGTTAAGGACGTTCATAGCCAGAGAAAGCTTCCAGTTTGGGCCGTAAAACGTCTTTGGCAATGTTGAGACGGCGTTCTTTGGCTCATCCACACCGCCGGAGATCTCCGAAAAAACTGAGATCCGGATGGTCACAGTGCAATGGTGATGGAATCTGAAGCCAGGCTGAAGGATGGTTGTGGGCTTCCCGTTCCTAATGAAACTCCGTCCTCTTGGCGTCCTATGGGCTTCGAGAAGCTCCAATGTCACAGGCTGGCCATGTGGTTTGGTTCTCAGCCTCGGAGTCCTGTTGCTTGGCACGGTATTTTGCGCTTGCCTCAGCACTGTGGGTGGACGAAATCCGTTTCCGCACCGTTCGAAAAGTCTGGAATGAGTCGATTCCCCAACGCAAATACCGAGCAACGTTAAACGGTTTCAACCATGGATTCCAAGTGGCGCGATTTCTGGATTTCGCAGCCATGCACAGTATGAGCCTCCATGAAACCAAGTCACCGGACTTCAAGCCCAAACCCATCCTAAGCCCGCCATACAACCCATTCGCACCTCGCGCGGCACGCCGTGCCGGGTCCGTCATCTCTCTTGAGCAAAAAGTCAGGCAGCGGGGTTTGTCAGAAGTCGTCCGGCTGGCCTCGCTCTGGTTCTATGCACCGATCAAGGCAAAACGCAGACCTCACAGCAAATCCATGGCTGGCTTGGGTCGATGCGTTGCCAGGGTCAAGCCTCAAGTCCACTTGGCTTCCGAACTTCCCAGGCCATCATTGCAAGTTCAGATTTGGCGCGGGCTCACTTACAGACATGGTTAACTAATTCCTGGAAATCAAAAAAGTGCCTTCACCAAGGACTACATGGTCAATATAAGGGCTAAACACTTACATGCTTTCAGCCCGGATCTCATAACTTTTGTTCGGGGTTCTAGGTCCTATTTCCCCCACGCCATGACTGCAACTGGACCAACAAGGGAAACACAAAAAGTCAAGAGGTCGATCTTGAAGTAGTCGTTTGGTGGCACAATTAGCCCCGTCTTCTCTCTCCTCCAAGACCAATAGCAGATGCGTTTAAAACCGCACCAAAAACATCTAGGGACCCCCTCCCCACCCCCACACCCCACCCAACCCCACCCCACTACCCAACCCCACCCCACCCCGCCCTACCCCTCCTCCCCACCCCACCACCCCACCCCACCCCGCCCTCCCCACCACCCCTCCTCCCCACCCCGCCTCCCCACCCCGGTCGCTTTTTCCAGGAAAAGGCCCAGGTCGCTCATTGGCGCCAGGAAGGGCCGACAGGCTTGGTGGAACTCCATGGCCTCCAGCGCCTCTCAAAAAAGACGCGGGCGCGCTTCGGGGAGGAGGTTGGCTTTTTTGGTTGAAGGTGAAAGTTGTTTGGTTGGTTGGCTTTTGTGGCTTCATCCAGTTGAAGGTGTGAAACCAGGACTATCAGCAGATCTTGGACATGGCAAGATTCTCCGGTGCCCCGCAGATACAGGGAAATGGGCGTGGACAACTTGGAGAAACGAGACGACTTGGGAAAGCTGAGGGAGAGGCAGGAATCCTGCAGAGCCCGACTTTGATTAGCCGGTGAATCGATGTGTCCAGAGCTGCCAGACATTGAGTTTGAGGAAGACACGGTCAGAGTCAGAGGCAACTGTACTTTTGAACAGGGGAGACCCTGCGATCTGTTGAGCCCAATATGCCTAGGATCCAACCCCTCCCCTGAATAAGGTCTTACAGTTTGGGGCAGGTTTCATCCTATTGTGGATGGACGAAAGCAATTTCTCACCACCTGGAATGATTCGATTCCCCAAAGCAAATACCAACCAACGTTCCGCTTTCAACCTTGGCTTCCCTTCGTGGTACGAGACTCGCGGATTCTGCAATCATCTACATTATGATTCGGGGTTCTTCCCTCGAAACCTCATGACAAATCGTGCACCAAGAAAGTCTCAAAAGAAGTGGGCTCCGCAAGTTGCCTCTAAGCCCCAAAATGGTAGGTTTCCCTTCAGCGTCCCTTCGAAACCACAAGACACCTCGAGCAAGAAAGAAAGGGTTCGTCTCTGAGGCGCTGGCTTGGGTGGGGGTGTCTCAAACTAAAATGGACCCCGCAAATGGGATCCGACTTCCCTTCAAACCCACTCCAAAAAAGGCGCAGCAACTTGAGAAAAACACCAAAGGCCCTTCACACTTTGCGCGTGCCAGACCAGCACCCCTGACCAGACCCGACGAGACAAAGGGTCTAACGGGGGCTGTTGAAGGGAACCTATTCGGAAGCCAAGCAATGAAGTCTCCACCTAGAGTCTCCTTCTGACCCGTTAAAAATGGTTGGTCAACACCCAAAGTTTCAGGGGTTATGCGACTCTAGGTAGACCCATTTTTTGTAGAGGTCTCCCTTTAAACTGGTTGTGACCTCTTTTGGTCATGGAGACCCTACTAGGTACGCTCAAAGCAACCCTAATCCGCATTCAAAGCGAAAGGTCAAATATGGTCAAATGATGTGCGCCGATTGTCCACTCCAGTGAATCGATCTGCTTGAAGTCGACCAGCCCGCATTCTGCCCCCTAATTGACGGGGATTTGGGCGAGATACCCCCCCCCCCATTCTATAATGGTACTTGTGTGTGCCACATGTCACCGCAAACCAACCTTCAACCAACCCTAGATATATCCCAAACCGATGCCCTAAACCGCTTCTACAGCAACCCCGGCAAGTGATTTAGGTTTCCTTTCAACTTTTCCTAGGTCCTCCAGTAGAGAGGTTAGAATAAGGGTACCAATTTTTCTCTTTTTTCTGTAGTCTATTTTAGTAGGGGAACCCTCCCAACCAAAAAGGGTGTGAGAAAGGGCACCTAGCTGGGGCACCCAGTTTCGGTTTCCCTTCACCTTGACGCCTTACGAAGGTTTTCTCTCGAAGCTGACAGGCTGAGCGCCGCACGAAGGCCCCGAAACATACCATGGAGCAGAAGGTGCCCTTCCTGCCGGTTGGGGCTGAACCAGGCAGCCCCCCCTAGCCTCATCAAAACCTGGCCTGAAAATGGTCGACCCCTCTCTCAGCAGGGAAGAAGTTGGAATGACACCCGCAAACCATCTCTTGCGGTTTTCCTTAGGGGAATCCCAATAGGTTCATTCCCAAAACCCGGAAGGTCATTTACTAATTACCCATCGCACCAGCAAGCCTCAGGGACCCAGAAATAAAAGGTGATCACCTTTTCGGGCCATGACTAAACATGGACCAAAAAGGTCAGATCTGGTCGATTCGCTTTGGGCAACTGAGAATGTGAAGTACACAGGCGGCCGCCGAAAAATTATGCGGGGGACTGCCCCTTTCACTTGCCCGTGGTGGTGATTCTGGCTCGTTTGTATGCTGTCGCCACTCGGCACTCGCTCGGGTCCGGTGCAAGCTGGTCTCTGTATCCAGCTCAGCCTAGGCGATTTCGAGCTCCTTCATCCGAAGCCCGTGCCAATAATTGATTCAAACTTATCCTTCAAGGACCGGAAACAAATGCAAAGGCCTGGAAAGCATACGAAGCTGTTAAATCCAGCTCGTTTGCCAGGATGGACATGAAAGAATCACTTTTTGAGACCTACTGAACATGGACCAAGAAGCAAAACCAAAAAGGCACCCAACATATTCGACAAATCGGCATTAATCAAAGGAGTTTGGGGAAATTACCGTCGCGCGGCTGTTGCCGGAGCCTTCCCACACTTTCTCGGCCACTTTCTCGGCCTCTCTTCAAGCGTTCCCTGACTCGTGTCGACCAAAAAGCCGCCCTCTTCCTCAAGATCTACCAACTGCTGGCCCCGAAAGGTCTACCAACTGCTGAGCATGAAACATCCTGGCAGCGGAAAACAGTGCACTGTTTCCCCACAGGGGATCCCATATTGACATCGACTGGCAACAATCATGGAAGCGCACAAGAGGCCGGAGGTATTCCATTGCCGGAAAAAGGGGTAATCCGGGTTCCGAATGGCAAACCAACACCTTGCTGGCTTACATGTCCCACCTCATGCCATGCTTGGAGTGTTTCAGTCAGGTATGCATATGCATATATATATATATATCGTTGTGTCCATCTTTACATATATCCCAGAAACATAGATCCACTTTCCACGGCCCTGTAATCCACTGACCTGAGTTGACTGGGAATGCAAACAACTCATAAACATGACGAAGACACCAGGTGCAAAACAGTTCATCGAGTTTGGCAACCTGCCTAAATCTTGCAGCTCCCTTGCTTGCAAAATAGTCGTACTACATACAGCCACTACATACAGGGCATATACCATCACTTCACAACGCTTGGTATGGTGGCAACACATTTTGACTTTTTTGCAGCCCCCTACTAAAAAACCACAAAAAACTAGAACAACTTGACAAGAGCAGTGAAGATGACCCCTTTTCCTTGTGGGGGTAACTAGTGGTCCAGCTAGGGCCGCCGCACTTCCAAGAGTCTTCTGGCTGAGGCCGGCGCCTGGCAATGCCTGCAATGACCTACGGGGGCCGCTCAACTCCCAAGCCGCAGGACTGACGATGTGGGGTGGTTGCGACCTCCGCGACAAATCGCACTACGGTTAGGAAACCGTGGTGGACACCGGACACCATGACGTTGCTTGGCGTTTTCGTTGGGGAATCGCATCAGAAACCGGGGTTTTTGAACGGTGCCTAAGAGAAGTTCGTCCATCCACAAGGAGCGCAGCAACTCACTTTCCGATCGAGCGGAAATTGTCCGAAAACCGAGGGACGTTCGGTTTGCCCAAAACGTGGATCTACGGCACTCGGATGAGACCTATGAATTCAGAGATTTGAATTGGACGAGGGGCCACAGCAGTTTGTTTCAAAAACACCATGTTTCCCACAACCACTGGGTTCGCCGGGGACGCGCCGCTCGTCCAATTCGAACGCGCCTTGCGCTGCCGGCAGCTGCTCCAAGGCATGGCTCACCTGAAGTCGCCGCAAATGCTGCATGCCATCGGTGCGATGCTGTGGATGGTTGCGCAATCCATTTCGCACCACTTGGACATCATGGTTGAAACCAGAACGTTTGCTGGTATTTACAGGGGAAACATCAGAAACCAGGGTGTCTTAGGATTCTTGAAGGATTTCGTCCATCCACAGTAGGGAATGACCTTGCGACCCGGTGATGGGAATGAGCCGGTTTCGGGGATTCCCAAAATCACGAAAGGAGTAGGGAAGGGTTTATGGTGATTTCTTCATTCCCTGAGAGCCAGCAAGATGACCGGATTCGAAACGAAAACTTCAGGAAGACAGGGAGTGAGTTCGGTTCTCCAGCAGAAAGGTTAAAATAAGGGTATACCTTTCTTATGTCGTCTATTTTAGTAGGGGAACCCTCCCCCAAAAAAGGGTAAAAGGGCACTACTGGGGACCTAGTAGCAGTCCACATGGAGTAAGCAATAGCCATTGAACCTACGCCAGGGTTGAAGAACTCGATGGGCGCAAGAAATTCGGGCGAAGAGAGGCCGTAGGAACGGAGCGATCCTTCGAACTGTCGAGCAGTACTTGGACCTCCCCTTCCCTGGGTGAATGAATAGGGGAAGGCCGTTCCATGGCTTGCTCAGAAGAAACACCCGGTGGCCATGGGACAAAGGGGGCACCCAGGTGTCCGGTACTGGTGCTTGCTTAATGGGAAAGGGAAGCAACCCACTGGAGGTCTCAGTGACGATTCCAAGTATATTTCATGTCCAGCTGGAGAAGAGAGATGGGGGTCCAAAGGTTTAAACCATTGGGCGATCCATCCCATCCCCCGGCCCAGGAAAGAAAGAGGAAACATGTTTGGTTGGTTGGGCAAGGTTTTGGTCGACCTGGAAGGCGTTGGAAGTTTGGGCTACCCCTTCCGTTGCACGGGGAGGGGTTTGGGGGGGGGGGGGGGGCAGGCTTCTTTCTTCCGGCGTGACTCACCCGAGGGCCGTGCCCAGCGTGCTTCCTCTCCCCCCGAATAGCTCAGGCTGCACCCGGAAGGGGATACCACGTGCCTCGGGACACTGGCATGGCCACGGGTTCATTCCATTTGGTTAAGACCCCTGAAAAAAATAAATATATATATATATATATGTACATATACATATTTTCCCAGTAGTGAAATTGATTCCCTTTAAAACCAACAGGGGAAAATAAAACACATCTTCATTTCAGCAAATGGAAGGTTCCCAAAGCCCCAAAGAGCAACTCACGAGCCTGCAGGCCAAGGTGCTGGGGTCTGCAACGCCGAGGGCCGCTGTTTGGTGACTGAATGAGACCCTTCTTTGGCGAATGCTTGAGGCTTCCTACGGTAAAGGCCTAGAGTTCCCAATGGTTTACTCCCATCATGGCTAAATTTGGTTAAGCACCCCAAGACCCTGTTCCAACTGTACAGGCCTTTGTGGTATCGGTGTGCTTTGCCGGATTTTTTGGGGAAATTCAGCATGAAAACGCTGCCACGCGGAGGGTTTCGATTCGCACGCGTTTCAAGCCAGTAGCTGAGGCTCGAGTCCTTTTCCACGGTGATAATTGAATTGAACAGCTTGTTGAAGCTAGTCAAATGCATGGCCCGCTTTGGCATGACGGGAAATGTTACGTTCCGCAGCCGCGCCCCTTTCCTTCTCCCTATGATCCACTTTGGGGAGCTCTGAATTTCAGACCAACTGGCAAGGTCAAGCGAATTGGCTACATTGCGGCTCCCGCACCCCCTTGGCCCGACTCGCTGTACTGTTGCCAAAGAGTGCACCGAATAACTTGGATCTGCCAAAGTGGCTCCCCGGAGCATGTGCACCTGGCAACCTCCAACATTTGAGCCGATGGTTTTTTGACCTCAAGGTAGCTCATCCTTGAGTGAATGGTACGCAATGCAGGCGCCTTACGACCACTACCCCAAAGGCCCACCTGTGCCATACAAGGCCCCTCCAGCCTCAGACAGTTATCAGCATGGGTGATAAGAAGCCACATAGTACATGTTACACACTTGTGTGGATTGGCCAAACAAACGTCTGACTTCGGGGTTTCCTAAAATTGTCCCACGCCTAGACATGTCCAGAACTTGGAGTGAGCATGTCTGGCTTGGGGGTGAACACCCCTCTCCGTCTCGGAAAAACATGTCACTCTGCGGATGCGCGAACTCTTGCACCAACTAGGAAGCCCAGGAATGTTTCAATTCCCCTGCCAATACCAAGCAACGCTACGGTTTCAATCATGGTTTCCTTTCGCGGTGCCGCAGAAGATGTCGCGATACCATCCACAGCATCCTCAGTTTCAGCGCTAAGGATGCCACTGATCCACGTCGTCCACGAGTGCGGCGAAGCCCTGGCGACGAAAACATCCAAACCGCTCGCTGATGTCGTTTTTGACAGGGTGCCTTATATGGCCATGGGTCAAAACCCCGTACCAACATCCCAATCCCCACCAAAATAGACCAAAATGGGTGGTGAACCTATCCCAAAACGCTACCATTGGTGTTGAACCATGGCCATATTTCCCACTCACTTCCAAGAGTGGATTGGCAAACATGAACTGTTGTTTCGCTTTTACCACTAAAATGGTCCAAACCCAAAAAGTGACAGAACACCAGTTGAACTTGAGTGAGCCCATGCTTGCTAGTTTCGAACACCACCTTTCCGGGGCCATTTGACTGAGCTTCCATTTGCTGGGGTGCTCATGGAGGAAGTATAGGGAACCATGGGAACCCTGTTTGATTTACGAACTTGGCCAACAAACATAAACTTACCATGTACCATCTTTACACTCATGTGAAGGGCTTATGGGGTGCCAATGAGCAAAAAACTTGGAACTCGCCAACAGTTGAGAGGGGTCCTGCACTTTAGTGGAAACACCCTCCACATGGGTCAATGTTCATTGTGCCCTCAGCTGACATTGGAGTTTGATGAGCAAACCTTCGTTTCATAATGGCAATTTGGCAATTGCCCGAAGTCGTCCCCTTATCAGTCGGTTTGACAGCGGCTCGGAAAACAGCCTAAAGCACTGACGAATAGCTAATCCTCTTTCTCAAGAAAACACCACAGCCAGGAAGCCAGTACATCACTCTCAGAGGTCACGACGATTTGACCCCCTGCCTCGTCCTCCAGCACTGCCCCATCTGCCTGCGGGAAGGAAACTTTGGGACACAGGCTCGGGGTCCGGGGTGAGCCGGACGGAGTGAACAGAACAACGTGCTGGAAGGTTCCTCATGGTAAACACGCACCCGTGTTATGAGCTTGGCCATTGGACAGTCAAACTCTTCTACCATGTCATGGGCTAAAGAGAGATGTCACCTACTCTTGTCCCCTGTTAAAGGTACTTTAAAAAGACAAGTGCACTTGCTGGGTGGGAGCTTTTCACAGTGGAAGCCGAAACAATAAACCGCTTCAATTTGGGGAACTACGAGTATGGCGGACTTGGGGCCTGTTTTGCAACCATGTTTTTTTTCTCTCTCTCTCAGTCTCTCTCTCTCTCTCTCTCTCTTTCTCCGCGCACCACCTTCTTGAGGCTTTGGGCCTGAAAAAAACTTGCCTTCGTGTCCATGGCACCGCGAACAAAGGATCCACAAGGTTTAGTCTTCGGTCAGAGGATCCCATTCGGTGTATGGTGTGCGTTTGATGTTGCTGTGAAGACACCTTGGGGGCTTCCATGGAATGGGTTCCTCAAAGGATGCGTCGGCAATCGTCGTTACAAACCACCAGCTTTACAAGATTTGGTCTTGGTTGCTGTTGACCCCTCTGCGCATGGGGGTTTCATACGTGCAACCCCTTGATTTCAACCAAAGAGTGAAAGTCTAAAGACTGAACCCCATAGGCATAAACCCTGGAGCCTAGGATAAGCCTAGCAGAAGCCCGCAATGCTCACTTCCGATTGATTGCAATCAAGGGGTCAGCTGGTCTCTGGGAGCTTTCCACCGGCCATACTGTGGATGGATGAAATCCATTTCGCACCACTTTGAAACCCTGGTGGAAACCAATGCATTGATTGGTAGTTACAGGGGAATCGAATCATTCCACCGCTTCACGCGACGCGAGGTGCGAGGCGCGTTAGGCGCGAGCGGGCGGACCCGCGGCGGCAGCGGCTCGAGCGCCAGAGCCCGCGAGCGCGGGGTGGCACGGCTGGGCGCAGGCCGCGGCCGGTCTCAGGGCGGTGGGAATCTGGGTGGGGTGGGGGGTGTGGGTGGGGGTGGGTGGGGGTGGGGGTGTTTGGCCTCCTTTGGGGAAAATTATTCAACAACTATGGGCTATCTAGCATCCAGGGTGTTTGTTGCCAAGTTTGTCACTTGTTGGTAACTTGTTGTAAATAGGACCTAGGAGATTAGCCACATACTAATCTGGCCGAACACCCAAGCAGATAGCGAGTCTGGCAAACTTAGACAATACATCATCCCCCTTTTGGCTTCCTTCGGGCAAATTACACAACACATATCCGTCATTCAGCAGCCCATAGCTCGGCTGGACAGGCTTGGAGTAGGGAGAGCTTGTTTGGGCAACATAGGGGGTTCACACATATATGGGTATGTCTGAAAACTGGGAACCTCCGAATCAAACTTGATCATGTTCAGGAAACAGAGGGAAGCCCCGATATTAATCATGGCCATATGAAATGGAACCAGTGCAGCCTGGTGAAATGCTCTTGGCGATTGTCAGCCAGACAGGCAAACAAATAGATTGGATACATGGACATTACATAGATAGAAAGTGAGATCGACGGGCCTTGAGATTGGATGGTTGATGGATTAGTTGACAGATTAGAAACATTAGACTAGATTAGATTACAGGAGATAGATAGATAGATAGATAGATAGATAGGTAGGTAGATAGATAGGTATATAGATAGATAGATAGATAGATAGATAGATAGATAGATAGATAGATAGATAGATAGATAGATAGATAGATAGATATATTAAATTAGATTAGATTAGATCAGATTAGATTAGGTTAGATTAGATAGATAGATAAGATAGATAAGATAGATAGACAGACAGACAGACAGATAGATAGATAGATAGATATATTAGATAGATAGATAGACAGATAGATTAGATAGATAGATGGATGGATGGATATATAGATAGATAGATGTATTAGATAGACATATATATAGATAGATTAGATACATACATAGATAGATAGATAGATAGATAGTTAGATAGATAGATAGATAGATAGATAGATATAGATAGATCGATAGACAGATAGATTAGATAGATAGATGGATGGATGGATATATAGATAGATAGATAGATTAGATAGACATATAGATAGATAGGTTAGATAGATAGATAGATTAGTAGATTAGATTATAATCGATTAGATTAGATTAGATTAGATTTAGATAGATAGATAGATAGAAGGAACGATATTAGTAGACAAAGAACCTCGACTAGATTGGATTGGACTACGAATACTAGATCTATAGAATTATGGATAGATAGGTAGGTTGGGAAGTAGATACAATAGGTAGATACATAGATAAATGGGTAGGTAGGCAGGCAGGCAGGCAGGCAGGCAGGTTAGGTAGGTCGGTAGGTAAATAGAAATAAGGCGTAACAAGAAATAATATAAAGAAAGAAAGAAAGAAAGACATAATAAACAACTAAGGCAATAACAAAATAACAACATAAAAAACACACATGCACAGAGACAGAACAGACAACGAAAAAAGGACGGACTCAGGAAGGAACAAAGAAATAAAGCAAGAACTAACAATGACACAGACAAAGAAGGGAAATAACTAAATCAATGAAGCAGCAAGAAAAAGACATAGGGGAAAACAATTAATAAAATCATAAAATAAATAAATACCTAAATAAATAAGGACATACCAAACGCAATAAATACAAACATTATAAAATATTGAACGCTTCCGCCCACCAGCATGGCCGGCTCTACTGGCAAGTACTCCAAGCAAAGCAAAGATATTCATAAACGACAAGAACTGCACACATGGGCGGCTCATGTTCAGCCGCAACCTGTGCATGTCACCTGTAAGGGCAGCAAAAAGCCAAGCCTGCCTGCACAACAATCAACATACAAGGTAGAAGACCCCGAACTCGGTGAACTCCGTATGGTCTCGCAAGTATTCTCAATTTTCCACGAGACCGGGACAAGCAAACGGCAACGGCTCATTTTGCGTCCGTGAGAAATGTGGGAGAAATGTGCAGAAGGCTGGGCGAAGGGAATGGTCGTGTTGAAACCCAGTTGGGTACTGGAATGGTTCTGAAAGTAATCTTACCCCTTACTCCAAGCCCTGGGGAAGTTCTCATCTTTTACAGACATGCCCATGTTGCCCAAAAAGTTGACAAAAATTGTGTTTTTAAAAGGTAAGTAATGAGCCCCAGCCTTGGGTAAAGTGTGCCTTGGGAATTGAATTGGTTTACAAGGGGCCAACTTCCCAGTCCGATAGAGGCCACCTTGGATATCGCATAAGCGCCCTTCAGGCCCGAGCAGGTCCTCTGCTCCTCCTCATGTTGCTCCAGCAGACCTGACGCGAGGATCTTCGGCTTTCACTTGCTATAGGCCCTCCGGATTCATCGCGCAGGCCCGGCACTGCCGCTCCTTTACCCGGTCTTGGCCAATCCTGATTCCAAACTCTGCAAAACAGGGATCTCCATTTGCTTCAGCCCCCTGGAAAAAATGAGCATATTTCCCGTAGTGAGAGATTCCCTTTGAACCACCTGGGGCCTGGCAAAAATAAAAAGGCAATTCTTAACCAAATGGAAGGGACTCAGAATTGAAATCAAATTAAACATTGGGTCCTGTGGCAAACTGCCAGGCACATGATGAAACTCGCGGCGAATCGCTCTCCGAAGCGTCCACGATGGTTGACTTGACATGCGGCTTCTCGAATCGCAAGTTCAGATTTGCCAATTCCATCCTTGAAGTGGAGTTCTCTCTCTGTCGTTGCGTCCAGAGGGCCTTGCTGAGTCTGAAGTTGAGTTGTGCCTCTGAATCTACTTACAAAGCCAAGCCGGCGCCTTGAACGATGGACTTGCAATGTTGCTTATTCTCGTGGTGCAAGATTACGAGGAGGAATTGAATGCGTAGGCTTGTTCAAGCAAGCTAGCTGGGTCACCCTGCAATTTGCCTATTTCAGTGTAAATCGGTGTTGTAACATACACAGCTGTCTGTTTGTTTAAATCAAGCTAAACGCGAAGCATGGTTTGCTAAGTCTACCCCAAACACAAACTTCCGAAATGTCGGCATTCGCATCAGCCAGGCTGTGCTAGGTCGATTTGTTGCTGCTTCAAAACGACGCTGCTGGTTGATTTGAATCGGACCCCACAAAAAAGATCAGCTCACCTCCACTTAGTGGTTGGTTTGGTGGTTAAGGAGACGGTCCTCCAGTAGAGAGGTTGGAATAAGGGTACCCTTTTTTCTGTAGTCTATTTTAGTAGGGGAACCCTCCCCCGAAAAAGGGTAACTAGTGGGGGACCTATAGACCATCTACAAAAGCCAGGGGTTCAGTTCCCCAAACCACCAATCCAAACCGCCAACCAAGGGAGACCTGAAGAAGAAGGAAGTGAATGGCGCCGGGCGACTGAGGTCGAAACAGACCAAGCCGCCTCGTCAAGACCCGCGCTCCCCGCCCACCTCAACCCTATGGCAACGTGATGGAACCAGCGCTCAGCTTTTGCACCAAGAGGTGTCTTGCTGGTTCTACTTGGTGAACCTCAAGCTACAGCTGAAAAGTGACAGGTTCAGAGGTATGACTCGGTATGATGTCAAAGGTTCCGAAAAGCACTGCAAGTTGGTATCCCCACCGCACACGTGGCAAGTAGCGCGCGAAACAATCCGCAGGGCCGGCCGTAATCGTCGCTGGCACGGAGACGGCGCCTGCACTTGCCGCAAAGAGCAATTGGGTCGGTTGATTCCATTTTCGTCTGGGAAGCGAACAAACAGAAGAGCGATTTAGAGGGTTCCACTGAACAACTGAGCTCCGCCAAGTGTGTCGATGTCTAATTGGGCCAAGGGCTCCCCAGTCGTATCCTAAAGGTCGTACACCTCTAGCAATGAGTGCTTCGTTTGGAAGGCCAGAATCGCAAATTTAGGGCACGACTTAACGGAGGAATTGCCCACTCAAACTAAAGGCCGCGGCCTTTTCGGTGCATGAATAGAGATCACCACATTGACCGGGCCATGAGCCAAGAAGCCAAGGAATCAAGCGATAGCCCTCCTCCCCACAGCTGTGGGTCCACAAAAACCCTGCTTCGCCATAAATCCGGTTTCGGGTTTCGGCAACAACTTGAGGGAACATTAAGAGGTGAACTACAATAGATCCAATGGATTCGCTTTGCTGAGAGGCAAACTTGGCTTTTCACCAGCCAAAGTTGACATCAACATCTGTGGTCGTCCATTTGGTGCTCCTTTCAAAGCAACCAAAAGGGTGCTTCCCCCCAATTAAAACAAAACAAAACAAAAAACTAAAAAACTCTGGGTCTCCCTTTGAAACCAACCCACGCACTCTGGCGTTTCCTTTCTCGTGGAAACCAACTCACGGGTCTTCACCCCCTCCCCCAGTTCCCCGCCAAAATACAAACAAACAAACAAACAAAGAAAGAAACAAATAAACAAACAAAGAAACAAACAAAGAAACATCTTCACCCCCTCTCCCAGTCCCCCCCCCCCCCCCCCCTCAAAAACAAACAAACAAAGCAACGCCAAACCACGTACACTCAAGCACCCCGAGGGTGCTCCCCTATCCCCGCCTGTTGCGCTTGATGGTCTCCAGCAAGGCCAAGCGGTCCGGCCTAGCGAGAGCGGAGAGAAATGGGAAGCCCTGAGATGGGGTTCATGTGCCTGTGGCGCGAAAAGAAAGGTACCCGGACCCTCAAGCTACCCTTAGAAAGGGATTTGTTGTTCCGGATTTTTAGGGCTACAGCCAATGCTTTGAGGGAATGATGAGAGTTCAGGTACGCAACATGGGTTGCACCGGTATATGCAAACATGGACTAAACCCAGCGGGTTTTGATGCCAAACCAGCGGAAAGGAGGAGGTAACCCAATGCCAGCGGGATTTGTTCAGTGATCCGAAGCAAGCACCTCTCATGGCGGCGGGTAGCCAATAGCTTGAGGACGGATCACTTACAACGGCTTCCAGATGGAAAAGCGCCCAACGTTGAGCCAGAGTCTGCATCAAAAGGACTTGGACAGCAACATCTTGCGGCTTTCCCTTTTGGCTTCCCTCTGAACCGGCCTAAACAAGGGTACCCTCGAAAACTAGACGCACCACGACGCACCCAAAAAATGAACCGCAGCCAATGGCTTGAACCCAACTTTCCAGCTGCGCTGTTCTGCAGCACGGCCCCTTCTGGCGAACACGTCGCAAGGTGGCGGCCTTTTTTTTCTGCCTGCATGGCTCCAGGCTCTATGTGCAGGTGGCATTGAAATACATGCCACGCGGCTATGTCAATCCGCGCGATAGCTGTCAGAGCATCTGACCGGCTTGAAACCCTCCAACCTGACCCCCAGTTGCAAGCAGCGAGTAGTTCAAAATGCAGCCCCTTGTCTGGGGGGCCTGCTCATGTTTCGTGGTTGGACCCAACCGAAGGGATTCGAAGGGTAGAAGCCACTGAGCCTCTGGAGTCGGCCTTCTCACCGTCGCAAAAGGCCCAACTTGGGCACAGTGACAGACTCACGCCGGGGCCTCGGCATGGACTCACGCAGGAGCCAGGCAGGGAAGCAAATGGACCACTGGAAAAAACTGAGTGTGAGCGTTTCTCCTTTTCATCTACCCAGGCACCGAGACTTCTCATAACGAAAACAAGCATGTTGTTTAAGTACGAGACAAGAGCCATGGCCATTTCCCTTGAAGCCAGCAAGGAAATCGTGTCTGGAAGCAACAGCACATCTGGCCTTGGTGTGCAACCTTCAAATGAAATGCGGATAAAATAGGGGGCTGAAGCCGGCACGTGTCAAAATGTTTTCGGTCACAGTAATGTAAGGACTGCTACAAGAAGAACGCCCACTGAACTTCCAGTTCGATTGCAAAGGATAGCCAAATAGGGCTCACTTTCTGAGTGGAGCCCAACAATTGTATTCGAACTTTTGTTTACCACCAAAATGGCAACCGAAAAAATGGACAAGTGACTCTGAAGTCAACAACATGAACTCAGGAAGTCAGGAGTATGACCCATCTAGGGGGCAATAGGAGCTGAGGCCGCTGCCGGCACTCTGCGGCTGCTTTGCTCCAGCAGTCCGCCATCGGCCTGAGGCTTGGTTTCTACGGATGCCATGCTTCCAGCGTGGATGGCCGAAAAAACAGGCGGGTCAACCCACCACACCCAACAACAGAACCATAGCCATTGCAATATTTAATTCGCAACATGGGGTCGCAAAGCAGAACCCTTTTCGCTGATCTGGAAGTCTGCCAAGGTGCATGGGGAAATGGGCTTGAGCCCTCACAAACTCCCAGGAGTTTGTAGCCAGGGCACTGTATGCCCCCAGCCCGTTTTCCAACCGGAAGTGGAAGGACCTGAACATCTTCTCCATGCTTCTCCAGACCCTGGAATGGCTGGTTCACTTGGCAAAACTGCAAGGGATTTGGAGGGTGCCACCGCTTTCTTCCATTTTCTTAAGTCCCCCGGCAAAACTAGGCATACTTCCCTAACAACCAACAGGGAAATAACACGAATGGGTGTGGGTCAACATCAAACCACCACGGGACAGCAGGATTTAGGCCGTGGTTCCATCTACCAAGGCTCCATTTTGGGGATTCCACTTTTTGACCCGCAGCCATATCCTCAAGCAAATGGTCGTTTTGGTTTCCCTCAGCCCGAAAGACAACTCCACCCATTCCCTTCGGACCCGTCGCCCGCCTCCACGTAGACGTGAAATCCGCCCTTCTTGTGGCCCTTGTGCTTGTCCTCAAGGAAGCGCATGACTGGGCCCAAAGTGTTTCTCTGAATGGCTTTGTTTTTGGGGAATCCCTTTTTGGAATTGAGGGGAACCCAAAGGGAAACCACACTAACTTTTGAAGGGGCCCTATGATGAGAATGGTGACTTAAAGGGGGCAACTCCCTTTAAGTAGTTTAAGCCTACCCTCCAAGCATGATGCCCAGAATGCTGCCTACCCTCCAGAAAAAAACAGGCTTGGCGCATGGAAGCCTACTGCCCTCTGCGAGAGTCTGCTTCCATAAGCTCGGAGTTGGATGGTTCACGGGCAGCAGTCCACACAACCAAAGACCTCTATTGACTCTATTTGGCCCAATGTCGAAAGAAGGCCACGGTTGGACCTGTCAAAGGGTTGTTAATCAGACATTTCAAAGGAGAAGCGTTTGGATGGCAGGCGGAACGCCAACAACCCTGGCTGAAGGCTGCGAATGGACAATCTCCCACTTTTGCAGCGTCCTTCCCGATGAATTCTCTCCAGATGTTCAGGTATGAATCACGTGACCCCCATCGTTCCCGCAATGAAAGTAAGTCATACCCAAAACGCTACAAGGGTGGCCGCCGTTATTTATGCTAGGGAATGGCCTCTTCTCCATTCCCTGGCGTGAGCATCTTCGCGCCGCACTGCGGCAGCCAACCGGATCTCAAGAAGTGCTGCTTTGCAATGCTCAAAGCTGAAACTAAGTGGACCTCCGCTCAAACTGGCCTGCTAACAGGGAAACCAAAAGGGAACCACCATGGGTCCACCTGCATAACGGCCACGACCCGGGATCCTTGTGCTTGGCGGAGCCGGCTTCGGAGTCTTTGCTCTTCAGCTCCTCCTTCTCCTCCTTCTCCTCCTTCTCCTCCTTCTCCTCGTCCTCATCTTCCTCAAGCAAGCTTGACTCAGCTTCCGATGGGAACTTGCCCGATTGATGTTCCTTCCCTCCCGGAGCTTCTTGTTCAACTGGCTATGCTCACATGACTCAACTTCTCCCCCCCCATTCTCATGATTTAGGCCCTCAGTTCATGAGCTTGGAGAGCGAAGCTAGCGACACCAACCCAAAACTCGGTGGCCAGCCCTCCCAAACATAAGGAGAGGACAAGCCCAGACCCCATTCCTAGACTCGTCTTCCAAAACAGCCTTGCGCACTTCGATGTTGACCCGCTTTTCTGCATGTGACATTTGCCTCCGAAAGTAACTGTGGGGCAGCGGTTTCAGGAGCCGGGCTGCCAAATCGGGCCTCTTTGCCCCCGAACCGTTGACTCCCTCTCTTTGCCCTTGTCTTTACTGGACAAGAAGACCAGTGCAAAAGTTGACCTCGCCGGTGGAAAGGAAACATGAAGGAAACCACACCATTTGTATAGGTGCAAAGGGACACGTGGACCACGTGGACCCTTATTATTATAGGACTCAGTTTGTATATTCGTAACTATGTACGCATGCATGTATGTCTGTGTTTAGCTTATATGTGTATATATGCACATATTTACATACTGAAATCTGAATAGGTCGTGGGTCTATGATTGCCAGGCTATGCTATAGTGGATCAATGATCAAGGTCACGTAAGACCAGGCCCCGCCCGGCGTCCTCCTTCGTCTTCTCGCTCTTTTTCTTTTCCTCCGTCTCCTGCTTCTCTGGAACAGCCTTCTCCTCTTTCTCCTGTCCCGTCGTTTCAGGCCGAACTTGAAGATCGCCGGAAAATCAACCTGGAACACAACGCCCCCTCATGTTAAGACACAACCGTTTCTTGCCGATCCCCCTTTCTCGGTTCTATGTGGATCTTCAGGGGAATACTTACTCAGCTTGCGCATCAGGACTGCAAACGCCGCTTAGCGGGCCTGGAAGCAAGCCACTACAAAAAACTATATTGAGCTACTTGCAAATTCCCCCCCCCCCTCCCACATCCCGCGAGTCTTCGTCTTCCTCAAGTCTTGGGGGTTTGCACTCACAGGCGCCGACCACTTCTGTGATACCTCCAGGCCTTTCCCATGACGAATGATGTATGGCCAGGTTCGCCGGCATCACAAAAGTGGGAAGCAACCTGTTCCCGCAACCCTGCTGAGTGTTGACCCCAGATTGAACCTGACCGCAAATTTGTGGACCTTTGTGGGAGGATGGAGGCAGCCCAACTAATGAGGGTAGTGTTTCCGGAAAAAGGATCCCCGTCAAAACCGGACAACTTCTCCAACCCTGCAGCCCCCCATTCAGCAACCAGGGTGTTTTATTGATCCTTCGCTACGACAGCCGTCCTCCTTCTGCTCGTTCTTGCTGGGATCGCTGAGGCCCATTAAAATCTGCGCCGCCTTGTTGACGTCTGCGCTTGCCTTGTGCACTTTGTGTTTTGGCGAATCGCCTCGGCCGGCAAAACAAACGACACACTTGGCATAACCCCACCCCCAACATCACCAACATCAGCAGCATCAGCAGCAGCAGCGGCAGCAGCAGCAGCAGCAGCAGCCGCCGCAAGAAACGACGACGATGGCCTTGACGGCAACCAAATCACCAACACACACACATGCACATACACACATACAGTCACATACAGTCACATACAGTCACATTCAGTCACATACAATTCATACTTAATTAGGATTCGCGAAAGGCAGCCCTGCATAAGCTTCGGGCTGGGACATGCTCCTTTCATCTTTGAAACTCTGACCAAAGGATCCGAAGCAAACAATCTGATTTAGGCTCCAAGGGGTGGCGAAATCCAGCAGAGTAAAGTGCGCAAAGAACATACGTCACATCCCTGTCCATTGTGTGGCATCACTTGGTCTCGATTGTCGATTTTAGGAGCTTCTCCTTGCAGTTGAACATGCGCACTTATTTTGCTTTGTTGCAGTCGGAGCTCGCGTTGACCCGCCCATTCATAACAAC